ACTAGATAATATTGTCTGTAAAATGACCTACGATAAAAAAAAATTACGTAAGATTTCTATTCAAGTAAAATCAAAATGCTGTTTTAAATAAATATAAATAACAAAAGAAAACAGAATTGAAAGTTACTTTAGAACATTTTGAATTAATTTGCTATATTAGAAATAATTTATGTGATAAAATTATACTGACGTCTTTCATAGATTGATATTTTTAAACATTTGCTTGATATACAATCCTGTAAAAAAAACTTTTAAAAAATTAAGATGGAATAAAATTTAAAGCTAAGGATAATAAATTAAAAAAATCGAATAAATTCTAGTTCAAGATTTTATTCCTATATTCTATGGGTAAAAAAAATTCTAAATAAATATCCATAGTAAACGAGAAATTAAAATTTAGGATTTTCATTATTGTATCTTGAAATTGTAAATAACATATAGCTTAAGAGTATCATTAATTTGTAATAGACAATCAATGTAAGGTGAATAAATTTATTTATTAAAAACAAGCTATTTATAAATATAAATATGTATAAAAATGTTGAAATTTGTAAACAACCATTAACACATTTTATAAATTCATACTAAAGTGCATTTTCAATAATTAAATTTTTACAAGATTAGATTAATTAAAAAGGTTCAGAATATACTCTATCATTTATTTTGGCATACCGGTTACTATGGCAAATAACTTTTTCTTATGACTAATCTCAGCATAAGAAAGCAAGCAAATTATTAAACTAACTTTTGAATAAGTTTCAATTTAAATTTGCATTTAAATAATTAAATCATCAGTAACTATTCAATAATTATGTGATGAAAATATGCAGCAATGGAACGCTGATATTTTTATGGTATCGAACCAATATTTTATGACAAAATATTGCAAAATCGATAATATCATATTATTATGGATTATAATATTATGTCCAATTATAATATTCCTATTAGTAATAGTAACATATGTTACAAGTACTAAAAATCAGGTTAGTTCTATATTAGTAAAATAAAAATTCAAAATAAAAAATGAGGGAAAAAAATACAATTGGACATAATAGTATAATCCATAATAATGATATTATCCAAACCATACATTTGTTCAAAACGTAATATAGTTTAGAAAAAAGTTAAATTATTTATTAAATAATAATTTTACCTGAAAAAAATTGAAGATTTTCAGATTGAAAAACAAAGATTTTCATTACACATTTATATATTAATTAAATATAATTAATAAAATAATTAAATTGATAATTATTATACTTATAGCTAACAATAAGATGCAACTATTTTCCACACCACCCAGGAGGTATAGTTGCCAGGCGCGCTTTTTTTAATGTGGTGTCGCCGTACAAATTGAGTACAGCCCTAGTCCACTTACAAAATAACTTAAATTAATTAAGTAAGCTAATTTACTAAGCCTAACTTAAATGATAGGAATATAACATGAAAAATACCCCACGAGATGATTAAACGTATATGAAGATCTTCTTTAGAAAAAGACCGTAGACGATGCAAGAACCTGTTAGAAATTAAATGTAAAATTGTAATGTACTGTGGTAATTTTGTAATTACAAGAAAAAAAAAAGAAAAAAAAAGTATTTACATGATGTACCCCCCTAAGATCCACCATGTAAATACTTTAACTTCATAGGTTCCCAGCACTATGAAGCTTATAGAGGAGTGCACTTATAAAGTTCATAAATTTGTGTATTAAGTATTGTTATATGAATTAATTTTAAATAATTGTGAAAAAACGCAAAATCTATGCGAACTGGAAGGTCCTTGCCGTCTTCCCCACCCATTTTTAAAATAAAAAATAGTGAACTACCAGCCTAATGTATTCTAGCCTAATTTTAACTTAATAATATATCCATGTGTACGTCTTCCAATTTTGTAGGCAATTTTCTGGTTGGTTCTAATCTTGTATGTATCTTCATCTCGTATGGATCTTGATCTTGATGTTTCACTGTATGTATCTTGATCTTGAACTATATCTTGATCTTGAATTGTGAATATTAAGGTTTTGCACTGTATATATCATGATATAGCACTGTACACAACACTGTCTGGCACTGTATATGACACGATTTTGCCCAAGATATATCTTATTTATAATATGTATATAAATCCGTCCACGAATCAAATATAAAGAATGAACAACGTAAATGGGGCCCCGATGAAATAATATAGAAAATGATTGCGAAAAAACTAATATCCTCTTATCTATCTTAGCAAGTAAGATAGATATCTTAATATAACAAAATAATATAGAAAATGATCGCAAAAAAACTAATATCTTCTGATCTATCTTAGCAAGTAAGATAGATATCTTAATATAACAAAATAATATAGAAAATGATCGCAAAAAAAGCTAATATCTTATGATCTATCTTAGGAAGTAAGATACTCATCTTAATATAACGTTCTCCTGGCGCTCCTGATGATAAAGTGGTCCATCCTACTTAGTAAAGTGATTTATCTTGGTAAGAAACAAACTTATCTGAATATAACAAACGTTTTCCTGGTCGTGTGCGCTCCTGGTTGCAAAGTGGTCCATCCTACTCTTGTACACTGGTTACCACCAACGTCCTGGTAAACATTCTTACGTTCTAGTAATAGTAATAGTGTTTTCAGGATCTATTCCTCCGGTAACTTCTGTGTTCAACCTAAAATTAAAATTTTATTTAATTCTATCAAGATTAAAAAGATTTGTATATAGCTCAGAGTTTCGTACCATCTCACGAACATTGCCAAGTTTAACTACTTATAAATTCAGCATTCCTCTACCAGGAGACTCATTGTGCGACCAATAAAAGTAAAGTTAATTCATGAAATTGTGTTCATTACATTACGACACGAAAAGTAATCAAATTAACTTTTTAAAAAAATATAACTGAATGTTATAAATCTATAAAAAAGTTACTTCTTTCCATGGGCCACTTAGCAAACCAATAAAAGATTAAATTTAATAATAATTATAAAAATAATAGCACAAATAATATTAATTATTAAATTAAGTGCATGGGGTTGCGGTGCTTCTGGGAAAAACAACGCAGGGGCCCATACACTCAGGGATATAAAACAAAAATTAATCAATTAATAAATTAAATTTAAATGTGAAACCCGACTACTTGGACCTGCCGTGGGGGGTAGGCGGCAGGAACGTAGCTTCAAACGCGCAATTTTCATCATAATACGTTCGTTCGTTTTTCGAAAATTAAAAAAAAAGTGTGTACCATGTACTCGAAATAACGCAAAATGGTAAATGAAAAATTACATTTAACACAATACCAAATAAACTAAGTTACAATTAATATCAAAAAAAGTTTAATGCACAATGAGCCTCCGAAGTTATTACTCACTGCACATAGCACTGTTGGCACTGTATAAAATCTGAAAAGAAACGAACTACATTAAAAATTGATTAAACAACTACATTAAATAATTATAACAAGTCAATTGCAAATAATTCCGACAGAAGTTCAAATATAAATTTTAATGCTGTAATAGTTTTCTAATTCTAATCTTTTTTTTCATTATTATTGACTTTGTAGTCAAATATATTAGCCATTTTCAATTAAAATGATTTTGTACAATCATTATGCAATATTCATAGTTTAATGTTATAAGAATTAAATTTATACATATACTGCATTAGTTCTTATTTGTATTTTTAATTTAATAATTCAATATTTAAATCAAAATGTATATTCAAATAAATTATATAAAATTGAATTTTATGTCATAAAATCATACCTAACCTCTACAATTGGAATTATTTATCTTTATATAATATAAAATATATACAATATACATTAGATATATATATATATATATATATATATGTACTTGCGCTTTCATTTGATTTATTTTTATTATTTTATTGTATTATAATTAAAAAAAAATTTGAAAACCGTTTTTATTTATATCATTGGATTTACACTACTTTCTATATTTTAATATAATTTTGGCCGAAGTGTTATTTCAAAACCATTAACATCAACTCTATGGCAAAAATTATTTTGAAATAGAAAAAATAATATAAATCGATTTATATAAATAATGAACAGTTTCCATTTTTTTATTTATAATTCACTAAATAAAATTAAATAAATCAAAGCACAAGCAAACACCATGCATAAATCATATATTCAAAAAACTACTTGAAAGAAGTTTTGGAATAATATTAATTATTATAATTGACTTACCATTCAGTGTAGTATCACCACGAGGTCCCAACACAAAATGAGTTAACATAGTTTCTGCGCAAGCTTTTATGGGGGCAAAAAGGCGCCAAAACAATATAAATCGTTACCCGTTAATAGCTATACTCGCTTATGTCGTTACCAACATATTCAAAATCAAATTCAAATTCAAATCTTATATTTTTGTCATAGTGTTTGGTTGTTATCTTATCAATAAATAGTTTTGGGTATTAGGCAATTGATAGCGCTAGTGTTGGCAAAATCACAGATAACCTGTCATTGTTTATTTACATTTGGAGTTTTGAAGAAAATAAACAAATAAATTCAGTGTTAAAAGAATTTGAATATCTTTTAGAAAGATCATAGTGATTATATGGATACATATACCTAATTTTAATTAAGTCATAATTTAGTACATTAATATAAAGTGAATCTCTGGGAATCTGTGTATGTTATTTGTCAAATTAATTACTCAATGTCTATCTATGTAGACAGATTGTAATTTATAAGAAAATAAAAAAAAAAAATTGTGTACTTGGTATGAAATTATATACATTAAAGATGAAATTAAATTTTGAAATCATGTTCTATTATACATGTATATATACCTAACATTATGTATGCATTTAAACGTGACATATGCTAAATAACATGTACATTAATTAATTTATTCTATTTGTACCTAACCTTACAAGCAATGGACTCCGCTGCTCCAAACCCTTGTATGACAGTGTCAACTGTCAGTGGCTTGTGTTGTTATTGCGAAAAAGTGTTGCAGATGACACAGTTTTGACACAAATAGGTACACAATATGTCAAATAACTAACCTAAAAAATGTTATAATATAATAGAAGATACATTTTTCGTAAATAGCTTTACAGGACTTATATTAAATGATACGTATTAACAATCTAGTTACTACGTGTTACTGCAAGCAAGCGTTGAGTTAAATATAATTGTTTCCAAATTATATTACGTTTTAAAATGCCTCAAGGTAGAAGAAAAGTACCATTTAGCGGCAAAGCTAAAAAATTGCAACTACAAATGAAACGACAAGACCAAAGTATATGAACATATTTTACCCTCGATCCTACAACATATTAACAACATTTTTACCAATTTAGCTTCAAAATCTTCTGCTCTACTGAAAACAACACAAAGCCAAAGCGAGGATGATTCAAATTGTCAAAAAATTGATTTCCACGCTTCTCAAAATAACAGAAACACAAGCAGATATGCGTTGAAGTTCAACAAAGAGTCTGATGCTGAGTTAAAGAAGCAAAAAGAATGTGGAAGAGCTGCTCTGGAAATAAGAGATCATAAAGCTTTGGAAATCGAAGAACACGATTATTTTAAGAACTTGGATTTTCCTAAGAGACCGCGTTGGAACTACAATATGAGCTTAGAAGAGATACAGAAAAGTGAACAGGGATTTCATTGTAATTTTAATTCTATATCGTTTGCTTAAAATTGATTTTTCATTCCAGAAGTATGTTACCGAGTTGGAAAAGAGCCATGAAAATTTAAGTTACTTTGAATTAAACTTGGAAACTTGGCGTCAACTTTTGAGAGTGCTAGAAATGTCTGATATTATATTAACAATTACTGATATCAGATATCCCGTGAGTGCACATAAATTCATGCAATAATAAACTTTGGATTAAATATGTTAATACGGTTGTATTCTAGTCACTGATGTTTCCTCCATATATCCATTACTACTCCCACAGATTGATTAACTTGGATAAACGATCAATTTATCATAAGTTTCCGCAAAGTCAATAGAAAAATGTTTTTGGTTTGTCATTTTATCTCTTTTATTTTAGTATAAGTAATAATAATCAATTTTGTTAAAAAAAAACTATTTCAAATTATTTCAAGATTCATGTTTAATTAAATTGTTTGCGAATAAGCAATACGGGCACAATAAGGAACCTCCAATTTTATTGCAATGTTTCGAATTTTAAATCGAGATTATTTACATTTATCAGTACTATTTATTGAGAATGTATGATATTTATAATAAATGAAGTGTTTTTGTACTTGGAATTGAAAATCCTCTTTGAATGCGAATCTAAAAATCATGTAAATCATGTAGAAATAATGTAAATAATAGTCACAATATCTTATAAATCATCTCAAAATAATAGAAATCGTCTCAAAATATTATGAATAATTTGAAAATCAATATCGATCACCTTCTAAATCATTTGAAAGTATTCGCATGCCACATATTAATCGCAGTTTGCAGATTAATATTTTATTATCTGAAAAATAAGCTTGTCTTGTCAGTATCAAAAAAGAGAATTAATTATGGATATATACTTAATATAAGACGAGTTTATGCTTATTTATCTACAATATGGCCATATTAACCTGATGACTGAAGCGTTGTAGATATGTGAAAATAAAGTTATCGCAAAATGTAGAATTATATCCAATCATAATTGCCTATGTAAAGCTCAAAACAAATCGATTGTTCCGAATAAAACTAACAAAAAATTACACGATAATATGATAAAAATTTGTTCCATATAGATCTTTTTCGCATAACATAAGGCAACAATAAAAATAAAAAAAGTCGAAAAGTTATCCAAAATCTAATTTTTTTAGCCAAGTTTTCAATTGAATTATTTGCTAAAATAAAAATAATTTTGGTTTGGAAAAATTTTCCATATGTTATTGTTGAACAAATATCATTAAATATTTATTTTACGTGTTCGAATGTAAATTCTTACAAGCGAACGTGCTATCCGTGAATTTTTGTTCAAAATTAAATAATAAACTGAAAATGGTGAATACTGTTATTTTGAAATATTTTCATAAAATCGAACGTAACTTGAAACGTAATTTACGTCTTTAAATAAAAAATAAAATACGAAATTAATATAAACAAATTATATTTTAAGGATGTTGAATATTTCGTGGCAATTATCTTAACAAACACCATTGTTAGAGTGACCGATTAAAATAATTACAGCAAATTAAATTAAATTAAATAATGTTTAAATTTTCAAACTACAACAATAGTATTGTTGAGTCAATCAAATAAAAATATATTGTTACATTTTTCGAACGCACGAAATGATTTGTTTGTATGTAAATTTAATTTTTATGATGTGATCGTAATTTTATTAACGGAAGTATTTAATAAAAAATATTTCGAAGCCCAAACTAAATTACATATATATATATATATATATATATATATATATATATATATATATATATATAGAGAGAGAGAGAGAGAGAGAGAGAGAGAGTTATCATTTTTTCATTTAGCTAATTTTAAATTTTTATTTATAAAGTTTTGGGTTGTTGTTTTCTTACAATATTTATTTCCATTCGGCTAGGAACTTGCTGAATGATGACATGCAGCGTATAAACGTACAACTAGTTGTAAGTGGCATTCTGACACAAGGCAAGTTGCATAAACTTCCTAAAATGTGTAAATAATCAACTTAATCAATAAGAATTCAATATATTTATTTGAGTGATTTGTAAGTATACCGAGTTGCTCTAGGGCCTCTTGTGATGTTAGAAAGTTTGGCAAATTATTCAATTTTATATAAATTTTCTTAACATATTGATTATTATCAACAAATTGAATATTTTCAACAAATTGATTAAATAAGACATATGATTAAAAAATAAACTTGCGTATAATTTATACACTAAGTATTTCCTTAAAGAGCAGCCCTAAACGCCAAACTTTAATTAATTTTTATAATTAGATAACTTTTCGTAGGACTATAATATTTTAGTATGTTCATTAATAGCTATACAAGACTTCATTAAAATTGCTGAATTTTGTCAGAAACTAATTAGCACGATTTGCAAATGATGAAATATTTAAAACCGATTCTGGATTTTAGGCTAAAACATGAACAAAAAATTTTACAATTTTTTCGAATTTTAACTAAAATACTGCTCAAACAGTCGTATAAAAAAACTAACCATCGCAAGTACTTATCAAGTTTTATCAAATGTCTAAAATTTTTGAAAACGTTTCACTGTCTTTGAGAAAAGAATGAAGTGTCGAGAAAAAAATAAAATTAGCAAATCTAGCGAAAATAGAAACTTGTCCTTCGCGAAGTTAATAAATAAACCACAAACACCAAGTCGACATACACTTTTTGTTAGTTACAATTATTTGGTGCCAAATAGCGGCGCCAATTTGGTATCTATTTTATAGATATATTCATAATCTAAAATTATTTTAAGTTTTATCGTATTAGCGTCGTATTTCTTTCGGTGTCGACTCGGACATCTTGGACGAATGAAGACTGACAAATAAATGATTAATTTAAACAAATTGATAATGGGGCACGCCGAGATAGGCTCTGTAAACGATTCAAGTAGACCCGACCACCTACTACCTACGGTGCAACTCTTTATTACACTACTACAACATACTTAAATACAACTAATTTGAGAAAAGACTCGAAACATTTCATTATATTCATATATATGTATATAAATAATTATACGATATCACTAGTAATGCACAGTCAATATTTCAAATGTTATAATAACCCCAATTAATTCGCGTGGGTCAATCGTTACTAAAAATAATCATTTACTATCATGAAACAACCTACGTATTTCTATGGCAAGAATATCATTGTTACAATTGACGAAGCTTTTCATATTTTCATTTTGCCATTAACACTTTTGTAGAGAGCTCTTACTCGATCAACAAATCGCTCCTTTGGCGACTCTTAAATCGGGGTACCAAAAGTAAAGTATGAAAAAAATCTCAAAACAAAATGTAAACTTACTGATATTAAAGACTAGTGGTGTATGGCATCGTGCCTTAAGGCAAATTGCTGGAACTTTCCGTACCGTAATGAAGTATTCGAGAAATTTTAAAAGTTTTCAAATATATTATATTATTATAAATACTGTAACTTTCATTATTTTTGCTATCTTGTTGCTATATCTGAGCAAATCAAATGTAAATCATATATCCATTTATCTCCAGAACATTAACAATCGTCATTTCATTTCGAATTCAATTTAAAAAAAAATAGTTGCCCAAAATAGTTACACAAAATTGAAAAAGTGCTCCCGTATAGTCACAGTCTAACGCATTTGCAAATAATTCTGTGCGACATTTTCACTTATACTGTGCTTAGCTTGGCGGCATTTTCACATTTTTCAATAGTTCTTCGTTTTCACAAAATTGGAAAAGTGCTCCAGTATACATAAACAGTCTAAACGCACTTGGGTAAACATTTGTACCGGAGTGGCGCTTAGACTGTGCTCAGCCTGGGCAATTTTTTTATTTGAATTTTTAATCCAAAATTACAAAAATATTTTATGAAAAAAAAAAAAAGAAATAATTGTTTATCCTCAAAAGCAATTGTTTTATCAATGCAAGCAGAAAGTTTTTTAGATCATTCAAATCGGACGCTTAGTTTACTCAAAAACTGCCATTTTTTGCACATTTAGCTCTGTATTTTCGAAATGACGGGACCTGTCGTTGCCAAAAACTAATCACTTCTCTCAATCATTACAAATTGAACGTTTTTTAGATCATTGAAATCCGATACTCAGTTCTCTCAAAAACTCGATTTGTATTTTTTGCACTCTTTGCTCCGTATCTTCGTAACGGCTGGACCTGCCTTTGCCCAAAACTAATCAGCACATCTCTCTATCAATAGGAATCAAATGTTTTTTAAAACATTCAAATCGGTTGATCCGTGCGCCCCAAAACGTGGACGAAAAAATGCGGACATACCAAACACACACACACACATCAATTTTTTCTGAGGTATGCCAAAATGTTCAGAAACCTTCAAAACGTCGAGAAATGCAAAAATTTTCATTTTCGGTTTTTGGCCCATTACTATAACAACGCTACGGGAAGTTAATATGTTTACGGGGCCTCCAACAGTTCGGCCACTATTTCGACAACGTCGTATATTTTAATCAAACTACAAAAGCACAAGCTTTAGTCATCATTACTCATCTCGAATTTGGTCCTAAATTTATTTTGATTTATTTAGACCGAATGCGTCAAGATAAATAATTATATTAATTCATCATTATTCACGTCGACTGCTAGTGAACAAATAGATAAAAGATCATTGGTGGATGTAATAACAGAGTAGCGTTTTTATTTTACTCAATCTCTGTGTTTGTTCAGAAATACGATTTCCACAATAAGCAATCGATTCCGTCTGATTAATTACTGACGTACTTTTTATTCAAAATTATCCTGTTTGTCATACTGCCAGATAAACTAATTTATCCTGCGTTATCAAAAATATAATAACCTAAACGACAATAATCTCAAACGTCAGAATAATGTCACATAAAAACATATTTTTTTTAAATTTCCACTATCAATTACATATTTAGTTCTGTATAATATTATGCCATTTTTATCCAAAATTTCCATAATTCGTTCGACAACATATTATGTTGAGAGAATTATTTTTTTTAATATTCCTAAATTTGACGTGCCTCAAATCAGCTTTCGGTTATTTGGACTTGTTGATTTTGCACGATAACGATCAGCACGCGAGATTCGAGGAAACGGACCAATTCAGCGGCCCTTGCAAACAGGACCGGGGGACTGCTTCGGCGGATTCGCCCGATTGGCCCACGTCGTGCGAGAGGCCCGCGAGAACGAGACCAGGGGCGGACCGGCGGTTCTGTACCTGAACGCAGGCAAGGATAAAAAATACTTTATTAATATAATAATACTAGCTGACCCGGTAAATGTTGTTTTGCTAAGTAAGGTATATTCTAAACAATTTCTAGAGAATCAAAAATATAAATACTTTAAATGGAAAAGGATATGTTGTTTGAATGCTACATACAATAAGGTATTATAAAAACAATTAACCCCATTAATTTGTCCATATTTTGTCAATACAATCAAACATGGCATAATCCAATCCAAGTCTTTTTTGGTCTTTCGACTTATTGATTACGTTTCAAGTTTTTCATATAAAGGATTCTGGATTTTGTGTATAATTGCAAATAATACTACTGAGCTTAAACAAAATTTTCAAATTTCTGCGAGAAGAGATAGAAAATGAATTAAGTATTTCTTCTTTGACCTGCTTTTTGAAAAGTTTCAAGTTTTAATTCGATGAATTAAAGTAAATTTAATAAAAAGTATACAAATTAAACTAACAGTTATCTGACTACGTACAGTAAAACTGCCAGCTACTTCATCATTGTAGAAATGTGTTTTTTTTGCTGTCTTTCAAAAATTTCTATCTAGACCTTTTTACCCTATTGACGGGGTAACTTGAAACGGCCATATTAAACACCCATATGACAAATAGTTTCAATGTCTAATTTAATTTTAAAGGTATTTTACAAAATGATTACATTTTTAACTAATGCTAAAATGCTACCAACGGAAGAAAATACTTTTATTATGGATTTTCAAAGATTACCTTTTATCTCCCGATAGCAAAATCATAAGAATCAAGGTCATAGCTGGTTATACATCTTTTTCCTTCTACTTTCAAATATTGTTGTTAAACAATGCTTTACTTTACTGGTTTTTGACACATCGGTGGTGGTCCTTTTTAACCTCGGACCTTCATATATTACTATCTTTTCTTCGATAAGTTCTGGGAAATTATAATTGGTAAAATGTTATTCGACAAAATGTCCCTTTGATCGATATCAAATTTAGGTTCTGAATTTAAATAAAATAAATAAAATAACCTAGAAAATGTTTTATAAATACCAATGAGTATATAATTATACAAATGAGGTATTTCAGAGCACCGTGTTTGAGAAAAATATGATTTGCAAAAAAAGAACTACAACGCCAAAAAGTACATACAAAAAAGTTGATAATTTGAGTTTCTAGAAACATTTGCGATCCGTTTAATAACGTTTTTGTGTATAAATATAACTACTTACTACAATTTGATCAAAATTAAATAATATTCACGTAAAACATTCTATCAAACGTAATTAAACAACATTTAAATTACGCTTCTACAAAAAATTTCAAAATAACAATGTAAAGTTTCTACGCGATTTTGAATCATATTCTCATCTTTCCGACAATCTCTGGATTGGCACGAATTTTTCAAGACTAAGACTGGCCAAATCGGTTAAGCCTTTTTTGAGTTTTATCGAGCTTCATTTTCATATATAAGAATATTCATTATACGAGCTTGGAGACGGCTTCAATTGAATTTTTAAGTTAGCTTATTTTAATTTTGCCAATATTGACAAACAGACAATCTTTTCCTCTCCCAGGTGACACTTTCCAAGGGACACCTTACTACACAATATACAAATGGAACGTGTCCTCCGCCTTGATGAACGCCCTCGAGCCCGACGCGATGTCTTTAGGAAACCACGAATTCGACGATGGCGTCGAAGGTCTGGCGCCGTTTTTGGTAAATGTCAATTTCCCTGTCCTAGCCTGCAATTTAGATCTTTACGGTGAAGATCTTCTCGAGAACGAAGAAAACCTAAAACCGTCTGTCATTTTTGAAAGAAATGGATATAAGATAGGTGTGATTGGTTATGTGACGCCGGAAACAAGGTTTTTGGCAGCCCCTAGCGATGTGATTTTTCTGGACGAGATACAAGCAGTAGACAAAGAAGCCAAACGTTTAAAATCGAAAGGTGTGGAGATTTTGATAGCATTAGGACATTCTGGACACGAAAAAGATTGCATTATAGCACGGGAGGTACCCGATATAGATCTAGTTATTGGTGGGCATACCAACACTTTCTTGTGGAATGGTCCTAAACCGCCACAAGGCGAAAATCCTGAAGGTCCCTACCCAAAAATTATCGTACAAAAATCTAATAAATTAGTACCAGTTGTCCAGGCTTACGCCTACACCAAATACATAGGAAAACTGAGGCTTCAATTTAACAGAAACGGTGAACTAATACGATTCCATGGTCAGCCCATCATGTTAACCAGTGCTGTTGAACAGGAAAAAGATATTTTGAGGATAATAGATAAATATAAGCCAGGAGTTAAAGCGGCTACATCCAGAGTTATTGGAATGACTCGTGTTTTTCTGGACGGAATTACATGCCGAATCCAAGAATGCAGTTTAGGAAATCTGCTTACAGATTCGATGATTTTAGAATATATTGAACGTTTTGGAGACAACTCTAGTGCGATGGCCTTGTTGAATGGAGGTGCTATACGATCCAGTATAAGTAAAGGTAAAGCAGGTTTCGTAACCATGGAAGCTTTAATGACTGTCCTACCTTTTGGCAATGATTTGATCATTGGTCAATACACAGGAAAAATTATTAAGGAAGCCTTAGAACACTCCATTCATCGTTACATCCCATCGACCCCATATGGCGAATTTCTGCAAATGTCTGGACTTCGTGTCAGCTATAACTTGAGCGCTAATCCAGGAAACCGAGTAAACTCAGTACAAACATTCTGCGAGAAATGTCCCGAAGACTACCAAGACTTAGACCCAACATCAACTTACAATGTCGTTTTAAATTTCTTCCTATCCAGAGGTGGTGATGGTTACGATATGTTGAGGGACAAGGCTTTGTCTAAAAAAAATTTGGGAGTTGATGACTTAAGAGCAGCCGAAATGTACTTTAAGACCAGGTCCCCAGTCTGGCATGGGCCAGATGGAAGAATTTCCTTTCTGCATGATTGGCGAAAAAGTTCGGCCACGTGGAAAATGACAGATTTTAATATTGTTCTGATAGCTTATGTATGCATAATTGTACTGATGTAAAATTAGTTTTTATAGATTCATTTTTCATTTAGACGCATTTATAAAAAATATATCGTTTAATGAATGATTAATTTTGTTATGTATACCAATTCAATAAATAAAATTATATATATATATATATATATATATATTTAATATTGGATTTACTAATTTATATGTTCAGTTGTTAACTTACGTAAGTAGATCAATAAAAAAGTCATGAACGCAAATATTGCAAAATTGAGTTCGCATTACTACAACAAAACTGAGCTATTATATTATTACAAAATGTGTTTTTTAGGTATAACTCATTATTTTTTAAAATTTAAAGCATAACAATTCGTAGTAGTTCTTCTTGTTGTTAGTAAATATAATTAACTTCCCGTAGGAAAATCGAAAATGAAAATTTTTGCATTTCTCGACGTTTTGAAGGTTTCTGAACATTTTACTGGCATACATCAGAAAAAATGGATGCGTGCGTGTGTGTATGTTTTGTATGTCCGCATTTTTTCGTTCACGTTTTCGGGCGCACGGATCAACCGATTTGAATGATCTAAAAAAACATTCAATCTGCAATGATTGGGAGAAGAGGTGATTAGTTTTTGGCAAAGACAGGTTCCACCATTTCGAAGATACAGAGCTAAATGAGCAAAAAATGGCAGTTTTTGAGTGAACTAAGTGTCCGATTTGAATGCTCTAAAAAACTTTCTACTTGTGTTGACAAAACAATTGCTTTTGAGGATAAAAAATTGTTACATCTTTTTTTATTTTCCATATTTTTATTTTGTAATTTTGGAATAAAAATTCAAAAAATTACCCAGACAGAGCACAGTCTAATACAAATCTGTAGATGATAAATAATATTTATACAAGTTCGGTGTTCCAAATATTATACGGAGAAGGATTTAATTATGAAAGTATATGGGAACATGAGCCCATAGGACATAACTCATACTTTACACATCATGACACACATTTCTTATAACTGTCTTTAACTAAAATCCTTGAATATTAATTCGGTCCGAAAAAGATCAAATAAACGTATCTGTTTAAATAAAACTCACTTTAAGAAATCTTAAAATTCCGATCATTAGATTATTACTAGTAATCACTTCACAGGTAAATTAAACAATAGTATAAAACTGAACTTAATGATCATTATAAATTTCCTTACAATCGACAAAGTAATAAAAATGATTCTTAATCGATTTATCAGATTTCGATCCAACGTAAGTAAATCAATACGGAAATCGATAATTTCTAAACAACGATTACGAAATACGCAAAAGTTTACAATATAAAACCATTACACACAACTCTATATATACGTATATTACATATATTTAAACAAAACTATATTAATAAAATAAATTATAAAATAAAATCAACTATTCACAGAGCGCACCTATGTAAAACACACAGCGAATTTCTTTGTGTAATAATTAGGGCTGTCACAGTTAAAACCAGTGTAAAAAAAATATTCTAGCTTTACAATTATTTTGTGCAATTTAGAGAAAAATTTTAGTGATTTTTGTATCGTCAATGCCTCATAATAATGATTAATCAGCATATATTTCCTATCTTAATAATTAGACAAATTTACTCCTGATACTAGCTTGTAACTGTCTGTTAATTCTGCTTCTAAAATATAGTCGATTCAAACCTTACCCATTATTCTAAACTTTAGAACATTTAGGGCATTTTTGTATGCCTATAATATTTTAAAATGTTCGTTAAGACTACGAACTTGATCACCATACAAGTCTCATCATTTTTTTCTAACAATTAACATATTAATCGCAGCGGGTATATATATAAAATTACATAATAAATTATTAGATAATTTAGTATGTATCAAGAAAACTTAATGTATCAAAGAAAATTTTTCCTAGTAAAACACTAATTTTTATGTCATACATATTTGACTGATCTATAAAACCTTTTTCTTCTTCTAACTATTAACGTGTTAAGCATAAAGAAACTGCCCAGCCGATCTTTACCAAAAACTAACTAGCACAATTCTGAACTGATACCTTTCGAACAAATTGATCATAAACTTTACCTTTGGGTTTTATTAATATCAAATTGGTCAATTGCCAATTTTTTGTTCAATTTCGACTTGAAAGCTCTCGACAGCCCTAGCAGTGCTCAAATGCGACACAATGAAACGACTCGATCGTTATGTCGATCTCTTTCAGTTGTGTTCGAAATTCGGAACAGAGTGCAACAGATTTTTATTTATCACTTCTCAAATTATCGACGAATTGATTTCGATTTCCAATTTAAAAAGTGATCGTTTCATTCAAAGATAAAGGTTTTAAATGTGCAATTTGAAAAAAAAATTGAAGAAAATAGTGAAGTTGAAAATAGATCAGTTTTTTTTGCTGAAGGTACACGTGTGAAGGTATGTTGAAAACGACTTACTTGATAGTTATTATAAAAATTTCTATATTTTTTACATCATAAAAGCACCAACTAGTGGTGTATGGCATCGTGGCTTAAGGCAAATTGCTGAAACTTCCCGTACCGTAATGAAATATACGAGAAATTTTAAACGTTTTCAAATATATTATTACAAATACTGTAACTTTCATTATTTTTGCTATCTTGTTTGTTATATCTGAGCAAATCATCTGAGCCTGGGTCATTTTTTGAATTTTTAATCCAAAATTACAAATATATTTTATGGAAAATAAAAAAGATGTAATAATTGTTTATCCTCAAAAGCAATTGTTTTGTCTATACAAGCAGAAAGTTTTTTAGATCATTCAAATCGGACGCTTAGTTCACTCAAAAACTGCCATTTTTTGCACATCTAGCTCTGTATCTCCGAAACGGCTGGACCTGCCTTTGCCAAAAATTAATCAGCACATCTCCCTATCAATAAAAATCGAATGTTTTTTGAACCATTCAAATCGGTTGATCCTGCGCTCGAAAACGTGACTGGAAAATTGTATCCATACATACATACACACACACACACACACATCCATTTTTTCTGAAATATGCCAAAGTGTTCAGAAACCTTCAAAACGTCGAGAAATGTAAAAATTTTCAATTTCGATTTTTGGACGATTACAATAACTTACCCTATGGGAAGTTAAAATTGATTATTAGACGTTTAAACTAAATAAAATAATAAATTAAATTTTATTCCCATATACAGCATACTTAAATCAAGTATGTATATCCAAATCACTTGAATAAAATTTTCACATTGAACAATTCAAATTAAAACTATTAGAATAGAAACAAATTACAACTCATATATAAAACAAACAATAATTAAACGACAACTAACAAACTAACAGAAATAAATAAAATAAAACTGCAAAAATGATGTTTATATCAAAATTCTCAAAGTTATTTTTTTTTAATCTGAAGGCTAAAATTAAAGTACATACAACCTTATTAATTTTAAATATAAAAATAAAGAAAATATGAACAAAGTATGTAATATCATTTTTCCAAATAAGGTAAGTAATGGACAGAGTACGGTTTGAGAAGCTCACAAAAAGCATTACTAAATCTTGATTTGAATAAATAAATAAACAAAATACATTATTCAACAAATAAAATACTTTATAATTCTCTATTTTGAATCATAATTCTCTATTTTCAGTTTCTCCTATCAAATAGTATATTGTAATGGACAGGATATGGTATGAGAAACTCGTTAAAGGCATTACCACTTTGATTTTAATAATTAGTCAAAGAAATTGCAAGAATTTGATTCTTTAATTATATAAGGTCATTTTTGAATTTGTTTTTAAACTTGTTTAATTATTTATTGATTTGAATCATTTATTTAATTTTACTGATAAATATATATTTTTTTTCTTGCGTATTTTTCAAAACCCATAAAATAATAATAATGTACTACCCACCCATTTATTATGTGACCTATCAAAAATATAACATTGACATTTAAGTCAATATTAAATAAAAAAACAGGCCAACAGCCCAAAATAAAACATTGACTTTCCAAAGTCAATATTAAATTAAAGAACAGTATAAAAAATAAAAACATAAAATTTTGAATAATTAGGCCAACGACCTTCATTTTCGAATACGATTACACATTTAGTTTTATCTAAATCTCCACTTATGAATGCAAATTGTTGTATAAACTAGTTTTTATTTGCAAAATCAAACAAATGTACGTAATAATCAATAAACGTCATTCATATCGACTTTCCTAAAGCGAATTAGAATTAATACTTTTCTTCGGTCTTCGATTAATATTAACATTTTAATAATGAGCCATTATTGATTATATTTAATTACGTACTTAATTCATTATATTTTGAATTTTTTGGAGAAAAAAATGTGTACAGCTTGGTGGTGATTGTGTTTCTTTTTAATAAAAATTGACGAAAACTCCATAGTTTTATAAATTCACTAGTTTTAAAAAATTATTATATACCCTATTATAGTAATAGGCCGAAAATCGAAAATGATTTTTTTTTGCATTTCTAAGGTCTGAACATTTTGGCATACTTCAGAAAAAATGGAAGTGTATGTATGTGTGTGTGTGTGTGTGTGTGTTTTGTATGTCCGCATTTTTTCGTCCACGTTTCGGGCGCACGGATCAACCGATTACATCTTTTTTTTATTTTCCAACAAATATTTTTGTAATTTTAGATTAAAGATTGAAAAATTCACTCAGACTAAGCACAGTGTAAGCGCCACTCTAGAAATGATGATTCTCTAGTTAACTTCCCGTAGGGCGAGTTATAGTAATCGCAAAAAAATCGAAAATGAAAATTTTTATATATCTCTACGTTTCAAAGGTTTTCGAATATTTTGGCATACCTTATTGTTAGAAAAAATGGATGTATGTGTGTGTGTGTGTACGGATACAAATTTTCGTCGACGAAAAAATATTCGATTCGTATTGTTAAGGAGACGTGCTGATTAGTTTTTGGCGGAGGCAGGTCTAGCCGTTCCGAAGATACGGGCAAAAAGTGCCAAAAATGGTAACTCAATTTTTAAGATAACGGAGCGTCCGATTTTAATAATTCAAAAAACATTTTACTTGTATTGACAAGATGAAAAATTGGTCAAATGTTCATGAAGGCAGGTCTAGCTAGCGGTTTCGGAGATCTAATGAAAAAAGTTTAAAAAAATGATCATTAGACATATGCACAACAAGTATATTTTTAGAGATTTTAACAATAAGTATAAATTTTGTTTACATTCCTATGAGTTCCGTACCAATGTTTATCCGTTAGACGGCGACGCGGCGCTTACGCGCTTTGACATTTCATCTCTATGCAGTTAAAGCAGTACGATTGCTTCGAAAAAAAAGTTCAGAATTTCCAATTACGTCAAAATAAAGAAAACATTTTTTTTAATAAAAAGTTTTTTTTAAAAAAAAATGTAATTTTTTGTCAAATTTATAGTTTCTCAAAAATCTAATTTTTTAAGTAAATTTTTTTTAAAAATGTTAATCGTTTTTAAAAAAAATAATAATTTTAGGTACGGGAAGTTCCAGCAATTTGCCTTAAGGCACGATGCCTTAATTGCCTTAGGACAGAATTCCACTTACAGCTAGTTTAGAATATACCTTGCTTATCAAAACAACGTTTGCTGGGTCGGCTAGTATAATATAAATATGTATCAATTACATTTTCTCCGTCCTTTGTGCGTATGATAAGAGAGTAATAGTCAGTCGTCAGTTGTTGGTCCTTCGTCTCCGATCCAAGCAAGGATTGGATTGTATTTGTATCTGTTCGAACGAATATTATGATCTTTAATAAGACGTTTCCTTATCAAATTCGTCGAGCGGCCGCAACGGACGTCACAGCGGCATATTATTTATTGTGTTTAGGTTGCCGGACGACGACGACGACGGCGACGACGACGCGTGACGACTTTTATCGTCGTCGACGTTCGCGGAATTCGGAAGATTTAATTGAAGGCAATTCAAGGGACAACACAGGACAGGTGGGCGAACGACACGATAGCCGAAATATAGGAAAGGCTAGTTGTAAGTGGCATTTTGCTTTGAGGCAAGTTGCACGCATTTCCGAAGTCGTTACGATAATAAGAACTAACTAGTGGTGTATGGCATCATGCCTTAAGGCAAATTGCTGGAACTTCCCGCACCGTAACGAAATGTTCGAGGAATACTGAATGTTTTCAAATAGATTATTATTAATACTGTAACACTGTCTAATATTCATAAGAATTATATAAGCTGAATTGCAAAGTTGAAATTATTTGTTTAAAGTATATTATTTTCGATATACAAAAAAATTTTTTTTTTTTTAAAAAAAGTTGAAACAAAATTTTTTTTCCAAAATCAATTATTTTGTCAAGACAAGCAGAAAGTTCTATGAAACATTTAAATCGGACGCTTAGTTCTCTCAAAAACTGCCATTTTTTGCACATTTAGCTCCATATCTTTGAAATGGTTAGGCCTGCCTTTGCCAAAAACTAATAAACACTTCTCCCAATCATTACTAATTGAATGTTTTTTAGATCATTCACATCGGATGCTCCGTTCTCCCAAAAACTCGATTTCTATTTTCTGCACTCTTTGCTCTTTATCTCCGTAACTACAGGACCTGCCTTTGCCAAAAACTAATCAGCTCATCTTCCTATCAATGGGAATCAAATGCTTTTTGAACCCTTCAAATCGGTTGACCATTGCGCCCGAAAACGTGACTGGAAATTTGTATCCATACATACATACATACACACACACACGCATCCATTTTTTCTGAGGTATGCCAAAATGTTCAGAAACCTTCAGAACGTCGAGAAATGTAAAAACTTTCATTTTCGATTTTCGGCCCATTACTACAACTACCCTACGGGAAGTTAAAAAATTGAACATTTGATGAGCTTATAGTTTCCTTTGAGTATAATTACATTATACTAATTATTATTTTTGTTACAGGCGCAGTATCGTACCAAAAATACACTATTGCTCTTAAAAGTATTACGACAAATATATTATAAATTATTATTAAATCAAACAAAAAGAAAATGAAATAAAAATAATGTGAAGTATGTGTCACTAATAGAAGAAAACAGAGGCTAGAAAAAAATCTATACAAGAAATTTGCTTGCAAAAATAAAAATTGGATATTATGCTCATCAGGTAAGTTGTAATATACATTCATTATTCTTACTATAATATTATAAATAATTTATCATAAGTAATTCTACAATATGTCTTCGCAAGCAATACTGAATCTTTATCAGTTGTTAATAATTATTATCGGAAATTATTTAAACAAACAATTTTGCAACAAACTACAACTATTCAGTCATTATGCACTCACAGCTGGTCACAAATCGTGTCCGACGATTTTGTTATTATTTCGACAAGGACAGAATCGGATTGAAATCGAAAATAAAATTTAGAAAATATATAATGTAGTGATTAGTTAATTATTTTAAATTAAATTATATGGCAAAAATAAATTATATTGATGTTATAATCTTAATCAATATTAACTTAATCAATAAGAACTCAGATTCAGCAACTTTTACAAATATCATGAAAAAACATTAAAATGTTGACATTGTCCATTATTACAAACAGTTTTATAATTGAACTGCTTTTCATATATCTATATTATTTCAGAATGTTCGTTGAAATTACAAACTCTATTAATACCATGTACATCAATTTATTACTATGCATTACGATTCCCAAAGACTATTAAATTTTTCAAAATATTCAAAAGTAATTCGGATATTTTGGTGAAAAAGATTATGTAACATTTTGCACATTTTTGTAGATTTTAGCGAGTTTCGAAACGACTTCAAAATTTTGAAATTATCGATGAAAAACCAAAATTTGATACACGTACATACAAACATACATATACACATGCACACAAATACAATCTCAATAATTAACTTCCCGCAGGGCAAGTTATAGTAATCGCAAAAAAAATCGAAAATAAAATTTTTTATATATCTTTACGTTTCAAAGGTATTTGAACATTTTGACATACCTTAGAAAAAATGGATGTATATGTGTGTGTATGTGTGCGGACACAAATTTTCGTCGACGATTTCGGGAACACGGATGAAGCGATTTAAATAATTCAAAAAACATTCGATTCGTATTGATAAGGAAACGTACTGATTAGTTTTTGGCAAAGGCAGGTCTAGCCGTTCCGAAAATATGGGAGAAAAAGTGCCAAAAACGGTAACTCAGTCTTTAAGAGAACGGAGCGTCCGATTTGAATAATTCAAAAAGCATTTTACTTGTATTAACAATATGAAGATCTGATCAAATTTTCATGAAGGCAGGTCTAGCGGTTTCGAGGATCTAGTAAAAAAAGTAGAAAAAAATGCAATTTGGCGGTCAAAAATGATCATTAGACATATGCACATCAAATTATCAGATATTTTATAGAGATTTTAACAATAAGTATAACCCCTTGATAGACACTCCCTTTGGATACTTTTGGGATACGATCAGCTGAGCCATTTCTTTAGAATTTTGTTTAAATTCCCATGGGTTCCGTACCAATGTTTATCCGTTAGACGACGACGCGGCGCTTACGCGCTTCTATATTTCGTCTCTATGCAGTTAAAGCAGTACGACTGCTTTGAAAAAAGGTTCAGAATTTCCAAAATATTTAAAAATGAATTTTTCTTCAAAAAGACTTATCAAAAATTTATAGTTTCTCAAAAATCTATTTTTTTCAGAGTAATTTTTTTTTCAAAAATGTTAATCTTTTTTAAAAAAAATAATTTTTGGTACGGGAAATTCCAGCAATTTGCCTTAAGGCACGATGTCATGCGCCCCACTAGTTTTGCAGTATTTTCAATTATAAACAGGACATTTATTATTTAAAATTATTGTGTAGACCACATTCTTGCACATTATCAATACTTTCATATTGTTTAGGATGCAAAAGTTATAAATCATTTAATATTCAAATACACACGAATATACATGTACACATGTACACACACCTACTTGGTCCAATTTCTATCTCCCAAGATTCAGAATGACTTCAAACGTCGAAACATGAAAGCTTGTTAGATTTTCTGTTGAAAATTAACTTCGTCATAGATTTATCACAAAATTATGAAGCTATTTCATGACGAATATACTCGTCAAACAAAGTTAACTGGTTAGAAGGCATTATTTGTTGCGAATCAACAGTCAACAGGCAAAAACATGAATCATGACAGTTGATGTATTTACTTCATTTACATGTATAAATATAGAATTCAAAATTATCCAAAAATCATGTAAACACATCACAACCTGTCACCATCTTATCAAATCTTTTCCAAACAGACGTAATCGTTGTGTAAATATATATGTGATTTATTAATATTTATTCTATAAAAAGAATTAATTCATTATCAAACACGTCTAAATTTCATATAAAACCGACGAGATGGTTCCGTACCCGACCCAATATCAAATTCGCGCCGTTGGCGGGCCATCAAGCGCTTCAGAATTATCGTAATTGTCGAATAAAATATATACTTTATAATACATTCACATATTGTATATTAATAGTTTTAATTTTAAATTTATTACTAAATAGTTTTAATTTTTAATAAGTGGTGATACAAGATTTAGATAAGGTGAGTTACATTTTACTTGCAAAATTTAATATTTTTCTATAAATTGTGAACGCTGGGTTTTGCACTCTAAAACTAAAATCTAACTAAAAATAATATTAACAATTATTAAATTCTCGAAAGGAGAATGTTTATGTTTTGCTGCTTCTCGACGTTTCAAGTCATTATGTATCGATTGAGACCAAATTTTAAATAAACACGTGTGTGTGTGAGTCGATTTTTGATATTTTGTCCATGTGTTCTCGTAAACGGCTGCACCGATTTCAAAAATTTTAAAATTTTCCAATAAAACTTAACAGACACTCCCTTTGGTTACTTTTGGGATACGATTTCTTTAGAATTAGCAAAAAAGTGCAAAGATATTTGTAGTTGAATAATCTGCAATAGTTTACAACTAGTCTTCAGGCAAAATGCCACTAACACATAGTACTAAAACGAAACAAAAATCCGTGTAATAAAATAAAACCATCAAAAACATTGAAAATAAAAATGTGTGTTACAATTTAACATTTTTTTTACCCAAATCAAACTAACTTATATGAGAATATTATTGAAAACATACTACATGTAAAACTATATCTAAGTCACAATAATTATAGTGATATTTATTTTTTCATATTATAAATTAAAAATTACTTATTGTGACGCTTCAGGTGTAAGCGTAAGTAAAACTTCCCAAAATAATTAACATAATAAGAATGGAGCTGCAACAAACTTTAAAATTGTGATGATAGAAATTTTAAATTTTGTTTTGAATTTTTAGAATTGAACCACAGTTTTCATAGGCCTATAGCTAAAATCTCTATCATCAACCGTTAAGGCAACAATTTCTATCTTCATACAAAGCTTCATCAATTATATAAAATAATCAAAAAAAATTCTAAAGAAATTAATTGTATTTTCAAAAAACAATCTGGTCAGCTTTCGAGTTCCAACTAATGAACCTCCAGTTTTTATATTTTCAAAATCGATTCACTATTTTTCGCGAAAACGACCAAAATTTTGGGTAAAATTCTACTTTTCTTTAAAAACGACGCCATTTTGTCAATTTTTGATTATTTTTTTTTATTGTAGGTCATTTTACAGACAATATTATCTAGTTTAACGAGAATTTTGTTTTTTTTTTTAATTTCATCCACGTAGAAGGCCGGAATAACTACAGCAGTGAAGGGTCTTATTTCGCGCTGTTGGAGATCGATGTCAACTTAAAAAATATTAATTTTTTTTCTTCAAAAATTTTACTATGTATTCCTAAAACATGTGTAAATATATTCTTAAAAATTTGAAATAATTGATAAAGTTTTTTTTTTAATATAAATTCCCAAAAATCACCTTTTTTTAGGCTGTTGCACTAGATGTGCCCCTTAAATTATAACGCAAAAACTATATTGCAAAATCATCAAACAACATGTGATAAAAATGTTTCATTATAATAGTTACTATCAATACCATTACTCCGTTTCGGCTTGACGTTGAGTTCTGGGACACCCTGTATATTGCATATATGTATGTAGATGTTTGTACGTGTTCATTATCGGTATTTACATTTAATAGGAAAAGAGAACAATGTAAAGTGCGCGACCTTGCTCATTACAAAATTACTTCACTAAATCAATCAACTTCATTTTTAATCTCACTCACTACTCTCGCAACACCATTTCATTATTATTCATAAATGTCATGACGATTTATAACATTATGTATATATATACATATATACATCTCAATCTTGCAACTGCACTTCTCTTAATTACCTTAACACCTGTATGTTAATTAGTCAGTGTTTTCCTAATATCACTAATTAGAAGGGCTTTCGCATTTTGTTCAATAAATAGGAAGAAAGTTTAGGTCAATCTGATAATTAAACTAATAGAGAACTCAAATATTATTGAACTCATTTAGCTACAAGAGTCAAATTTGAGGTCTCAATTCTGAAAATTATTCTACTGAGATTTATGCTAGATAATTTAATTTAAACTAATGAAAAACTCAAATATTATTAAACTAATTTGAAACTAGTTATATATGGCATCGTGCCTTAAGGCAAATTGCTGGAACTTCCCGTACTGTAATGAAATATTCGAGAAATTTTAAAAGTTTTCAAATATACTATTACAAATATTGTAACTTTCATTATTTTTGCTATCTTGTTATATCTGAGCAAATCAAATGGAAATCATAAATCAATTTATCTCTAGAAAATTAACAATCGTCATTTCATTTCGAATTCAATTTCAAAAAAATATTTACTATAACCACCCTACGGGAAGTTAATAATTGCGAATACAATTTGAGGTCACAATTTTCTAGATGATTTAATATTTTAAAATACAATTTTATTAATATATAATAATCTGGCAAAATAACTAAAAACTTCAATTATCATTTTTCTTCAAGATTCAGTTTGCTCGTCAGTAGAGTCCTTTTTACTTAATTAGATTATTATTATTTCTGACTTTCAGAAAGTAAAGTTTATGTTTTCGCCAGAAAATCCGACACGCTAATTTTATTTTTTCTCCATTCTGAATCGTTTGATATTAAATTTATAAGTTATACGTGAATATAAAATATTTAAAATATAATATATTGATGTACAAACAATATAAAACTGAACTATTTCTCCATGACAAAATTTTAAAACATATAAATAAATCATGAAGTTAAGAAATATGAACATTTTTTATACCGTTTTTCATCGAATCATAAATGTAACCAAAGATTAAATAAAGATAAGTTATAAATCAAAATTCAGCAAATTTCTACTAAAAATTATTCAGATAATTCATTTAAACACAATTACATAAATTTAACTCTTAAGTTGATGGAAAAATTACGAAGTGGCAGAATAAATATTGGAAAAAATTCGGTCCTTTTAGATATTTGTCTAATCTTTGTACTGAACTGATACAAATTTATACATAGAAGAATTAAATGTGTGTTTATTCAAATCAATATCATCCTACAGAAAATTTCATTACTATCAATAATTTTTATCTGAAAGTAAATTCTCTCAAAACAAACAAAGTAACTACAGATCACAAATAATTCATTCAACGTCAGTAACTCGGAATTTACTAAGATTTTACTAAAAAAAAATATATTTTGAAGTGCAATTTTATTTTCTGCAATAAACTCACGATAAAAATTATAATTTGTTGCAAATTAGTGATATAAACTAGTATACTTTATTGCATATAATTATAACAATAAAGTTGAAGGAATATAACAATAGGATTTTAATAATTCATTTGAATGATTTGTGAGTTATAGTTATAGTTGTGTAATTAATGAAATGAAATAAAATTGGCAGTGAAGTGTAATATGGTAAGAGAGATATTAATTAACTTTGTTAAATAAAAATTATTGATATTAAAAATTCTATACCATACTTTATTATTATACAGTATTTAGTATAGTAGATATATTACTTAATTCTAGGATGATTTTGTTTTTAAATATACATTTCATTGTTGTACTAAATGTAGTATAAAAGTTTCAAAATCTGTTTCTTATGAAACAGTTTATTTATATAAAATATTACGAAACTTTTACAACGTATTGAAAATTTTTCAAATATTTGTAATATGATGTTCTGTAGGAACCAAATGGTTTTTAGGAAAGTAATTTCGTTTTTCGTGGCAAAAATTTTCACTATATAACTTTATTAAATTATATATTAGCCATTCTGGTCCAACACCTATTTGCCTTATAGCAGCACAATTCAAATCTCATGTAATTTTTGGGTGGTTTTCAAATTAATCTCATTAAAAAAAATCGAGTAACCCTTCCTGTTGAAGTGAATAATTTATTTTATCCAGCTTCCAAAATAATTGTTGTGTTTCTCATAAAGAATTCCTCATAAAATCTCATTAAAGAAATAGCCTTCATGTGGAGAATATATAAACTTTTGATGTGATTTCAGACTGTGATTACACAAAGTTAAATATTCAATATTATTTTCAATATAAAATTGTACTATAGGAATTCAGAACATTTTAAACAGCAATTGAAATATTAGAACTAAAAATATTGAAATGCTTTTAATTCTTATACAATTTGGCATGGTCTCATATTTAAATTTCTTGATTAAATTTTGAAAAACCACTCCGTATTTTCTCTTCAATAAAATTTTTGTTTTTTGTTTGATTAAGATTTTAATCATAATAATAATACCAATTTGGAATAGTCATTACATCATATTTGCACACATTTGTTTGGAATTCAAATTTCATATGTTCACTTTAACAAAAGTATTTTTAAAATTAAAAAAAAAACAATGCACAATAAATACAATAACGATTTTGGTGTTAAGGGTTTCAGAACAACTTAAAACAACAAATTAGTAAATCGGACTATCTGGCGAAAATTCTCTTTCGGAAGGTTGCAAATAAGAATAAAAACTTATATTTGAAATAATAATAAATATCATTATAATGAGAAGCCATAACCAAAGGGCTCGAATCATTTTATATTTATTTCATGAGTAATATATAGGATTACTTTATTAACTTCCCATAGGGTAAGTTATTGTAATCGTCCAAAAATCGAAAATGAAAATGTTTGCATTTCTCGACGTTTTGAAGGTTTCTGAACATTTTAAGGCATACCTCAGAAAAATATGTACCCATTTTTTCGTCCACGTTTTTGGGCGCACGGATCAACCGATTTGAGTAGTTTAAAAAACATTCGATCCCTATCGATAGGAAGATGTGCTGATTAGTTTTTGGCAAAGGCAGGTCCATCATAAATGGCAGTTTTTGAGAAAAATAAGCGTCCGATTTGAATGATCTAAAAAATTTTCTGCTTGTATTGACAAAAAATTGCTTTTGAGGATAAAAAAATTATTACATCTTTTTTATTTTCCATTTTTGTAATTTTGGATTAAAAATTCAAAAAATTACCCAGACTAAGCACAGTCTAAGCGCCACTCTGGTACAAATGTTTACCCAAGTGCGTTTAGACTGTTTATGGGTGAAGCACGCACGCATTTCCAATTTTGTGAAAACTATTGAAATTATTTGCAACTGCGTTTAGACTGTGACTATAGTACTTTTTCAATTTTGTGTAAATTAGGCAACTATTTTTTTAAAATTGAATTCGAAATGAAATGACGATTGTTAATGTTCTGGAGATAAATTGATTTATGATTTACATTTGATTTGCTCAGATATAACAAGATAGCAAAAATAATGAAAGTTACAGTATTTGTAATAATATATTTCAAAACGTTTAAAATTTCTCGAATATTTCATTACGGTACGGGAAGTTCTAGCAATTTGCCTTAAGGCACGATGCCATACACCACTAGTTTTATATTTATTTCATGAGTAATATATAAGATTACTTTAATAATATTAAAATCACTTGAATGGATAACATTGATTTATATATTTTACCTCTATAAATATTTTATTATATTAAATCTAGCTCCTTTACTACTTATCCTTATAAATAATTCATTCCATTAGCGTCGAGTTGTAAAATAATAAAAAGTGACTCAATGGCGATAATTAAAACCGAATCATTAGTTATTATCAAGCAAGATGATTGATAATATCGATTTATTGTTTAATTGGCGTGAAAAATATCTGCAAAGTTATTTTTTAAGATCTAGGAATTACGACAAAATTTTTTCGCTGGGATAAAGAAACATCGACGAGATCTGGATGCAGTTTTTTCTTAGGTCTTGAGGGAAAAAGATCAAGAGAGACAAAGTTATAAAAATAGTTGAACAAAATTTATTAACCAGGAAAAAATAATTGAAGTTAACTAAGTAAATTAAGTAGAAATAAGAAAGTGTTTAAAATCAATATGTTTTATTATATGTTGAAATAAAATAAAAAAGTGATAAATGTGACATTTACAAAGTATACAACGACAATCTATCAATTAATTTATATAAGATTATTAACTCAATTATTATTTATTTATGAAAAATATATTCCGATGATGTGAAAATATATTAAAGTGTGTTGTAATCAAAAAAGTTCGTGAAAATACTATTTGTGTTTGAAATGTTGAAAAAGATTAAAACTAATTTTTTTGCAGCCGTAGACAGATTGATTTTATTCATAGGAATGGTTTTACATGAAGATGTAATAATTTTCTATTGAAGTTTGAATTATTTAGATAAATGAAATAGATTAATCATAATTTTTTTTCTCATTTTTCTTCATTGTTATACAAACTGTAACTAGGTATAAGCGGCATTTTTCTTTAAAGCAAGTTGCACGAACTTTGCGATATGTGTAGATATTAGATAAAATAGCTATTTAGATGAAATTTTCAATTATTTATTTCGAAGGCAAAGTTTTTGCTGAACAATAATGATAAAATAGGCGCAGTAGTTTTGGAAAAATCTTCAGACAAAATGTCTCACAGACACAAACACACACAAATACTCTTTCCAATTTTGGTCCCAACCAAATTAAAATGCAGGAAGCCTGATTTTCTAAATATTATATATCATATTCATTCTAAAAATAATATGAGGCTAACATAATCTTTTCATACCTTATAAAATTTTATTGCTAGTTTGCTAGTTATAATTTCACTAAAAAAATGCTATAGCTTTGCATATGTGCTATAAGTATGTATATAAAAATAGTCCAAATATTATAGACGCGTTCAAAGAGTAATAAGTTAATTGAACACAAATATTAAAAACCAATTTTATCATAGACATAATAAGCTAATATGTGCAAAAGGCAAATTATTAAGTTTTTTTCAAAAATTAATTGGAATCTTTAGTGCATTTGCCCTTCCGAGCTATATTTGTTTATGGGATAATATATATTGTTAGTTTAAATCCATGCAAATTTAACTAATATGTGTATAAAAAACCTTTTCAAAAATTAATGGAAATCTTTATTATATAGCCATTTGCAATTCTTAGCTATATATGTCGAATGACTTTCTTGTCGTTGCATACAAATTGAAAAACAAACTTTTAGCACAATGACTAATATATGTAGAAGACTAATTTATTACTTCTTTGCATAAATTAATAGAACTTTTTTCATATATACTACTTATAGCGCAGACAGGTACTTGCAATTCGAGGCTTTATTTATTTCTCCGGGGCATTTCTAAGTTTAAGGGGCACACCTAGTGTGACAACCTAAAAAAAGTTTATTTATGGGAATTAAAATATAATAAAAACTAGTAAATCGATCTATTTGAAATTGAGGGTATATTCATACATGCCTTGAGAATACACAGTAAAATTTTTGAAATAAAATATCAAATATATTTAAAATGGCATGCGATATCCGGCGGAGCGAAAAAAAAGGCCCTTCACTGCTGCAGTGCTACGTGGATGAAATTTAAAAAAAAAATCTAGTTAAACTAGATAATATTGTCTATAAAATGACCTATGATAAAAATAAAAAATCAAAAATTGACAAAATGGCGGCGTTTTTTATAAAAAAGTCGAATTTTACCCAAAATTTTGATCGTTTTTGGACTGCCAACATTCGATTTTTGATCAGATCAAAAAATCGATAGTTCATTTTACGGAGAACTATATATAGAACATGTAAAAAAATTAGATAGTGATCTGAACATTTGTTGTTGAGTATAATCGCTGCAGCAAATTCGGAAAATGCTGTTTCGGGAAAAACGCGTTCAAAGATAAAATGATTGTTATACTATATACTGTATATATACTCTTTAAATGGCTATGACTCAAAAACTATTTAAGATATCGATATAAAATTTTGGTACGTTATTTTTAAAGGTATAACCAATCGAAATATGTAAAAATTGAAAATTCGATTTTTTGAAAATTTCACACAAGGTGTGCCCCTAAATCCAAATTTCATTTCGAATAAAATGATTTTTTCAGAGCCCGATCGTCCCGGCCGGTGATAACAGCGCAACGCCCAGCAGAGACTTAGCATCGAGCGCCCTCGTCGGTTCTCAACCCCTGGCCAAATCGAATTCATTCCGAACGCAGGAGACAGCCACTCTCAACCCTATTCGGCATAGGATGGTACAGACTGACCCTGGGCCCAGGCGTTTGCTTAGTAAGATAATAATAATAGTCGAGCAAATAAATATTCACTCATAATCATACTTTTACTATTGCTTTCCCAGACAGTGACGTTAAAGACGACCAACCACAGTCAACGAATGATGAAATAAGCCCATCCACAACTGCTCCAAGTTCAAACGTGAATGAAAGCAATGGAAACCTCACCGAATCACAACCCTTAAGCCAAAATACTTCAACAAATACTCCATTAGAAACATCAAATACCTCACTAGCAGAAAGCAGCAGTACCAAGTCAGCTGCAGACGTTAATAATAGTAAACAAAACACGGATACTCAAAGTAAAGATGGCCTGAGTCCTTTACTAAAAAGGGATTTGACGGCGTCAACAAAATTCCTAAAGAATATTAGTCAGTTAGAATTGAAAGGTCAGGATGATGGAGAAGATAAAAATGAGTTGAAGGACCAGACGGAGGTCAGTCAACATGACTTGACTGACTTGACTAGTCAAAAAACATTGACTGATCCGACAACATTGGTTACTAGAGCTAATGACAACAGTAGCAAAAAAAGTTCATTAAAGCTCAAAAATGGTGGTTCCGTTAATTCAGACAAAAGGTATTAAAAAATAAAATTATCTAGTTATTTTGAATAACTTATCATATTTTTATTATTTTGTAGGGGTAAAAATGACCCAGAAAAGGGTCAAAGCGATCCGTCCAAGAAAATTGCGGCGGATTTTGAAACAGCCATAGATATGACTGGATATGGAAAATTCCATTACGCCCTGCTGGCGGTAAGTATTAAATTATTATTAATAAAAACAAACAATAATTCTATATTAAATATTCTATTCAGGTTTGTGGTTTTGTATCCACGAGTGAAGAAATGGACGTAATCTCAATGTCATTTATTCTACCATCAGCCCAATGCGATTTGAAATTAAATACGCACACTAAGGGTTGGTTGAATAGTATCATATTTATAGGTAAATATAAAATTTCATAAATTGTACAAATAGCTGATTGTGGATTATTAACTTCCCGTAGGGTAGTTATAGTAATGAGCCGAAAATCGAGAATGAAAACTTTTCTGAACATTTTGGCATACATCAGAAATGTGTCCGCATTTTCTCGTCCACGTTTTTGGGCGCACGATTTGAATAGTTTAAAAAACATTCGATCCCTATTGATAAGGAGATATGCTGATTAGTTTTTGGCAAAAGCAGGTTCAGCCATTTCAAAGATACAGACCTAAATGTGCAAAAAATGGCAGTTTTTGAGTGAACCAAGCGTCCGATTTGAACGATCTAAAAAACTTTCTGCTTGTATTGATAAAACAACTGCTTTTGAGGATAAAAAATTCTTACATCTTTTTTTTATTTTCCATAAAATATTTTTGTAATTTTGGATTAAAAATCGAAAAAATGACCCAGGCTAAGCACAGTCTAAGCGCCACTCTGGTACAAATGTTTACCCAAGTGCGTTTAGACTGTTTATGTACTTTTCCAATTTTGTGAAAACTATTGAAAAATGTGAAAATGCAATTTGCCTTAAGGCACGATGCCTACACCACTAGTTTATTATTATTATCATCTCATAGGTATGATGTTTGGTGCCTATCTGTGGGGCTCCCTAGCAGACAGCGTAGGACGCAAAAGGGTCCTCATAGCAATTTCGTTCATGAACGCCCTTTGCATAGTAGCCAGTTCATTTTCACAATCTTATGGACTATTTATGTTATTCAGATTTCTAAACGGAGCTGCGTAAGTATTACTAATTAAAATAATGAGTTTGTGAATAATTTGAAAAAAAAAATCATTTATTCCTACAGTTTAGGAGGAAGCGGTCCTGTAATTTGGTCATATTTCGCCGAATTTCAACCAAAAGCAAAAAGAGGTTCAATGCTTAGTTCAATGGCAGCCTTTTGGACCTTGGGTAATCTTTGTGTAGCAGGTTTGGCTTGGGCCGTTATACCCCAAGCCAGTTTAGGTAAGTTTTAAATAACAAAATCCCATATTTGCATGCATAATGAAATTAAAATAATCTTACTTTGTATCAGGATATCACGGAATCCATTTCACATATAACTCATGGCGCATATTTTTGTCATTGTGTGCTGTTCCATCATTAATTGTAGCCGTGCTGCTGTTCTTTCTGCCGGAGTCTCCAAAATTTCTCTTGGCCAGAGGTAAACAAGAAGAAGCCCTGGAAATATTCAGAGGTTAGTCTGTAAATGAAGATTAAGTAGTTGAAGCATATGTTAACTTCAGACACAACATTAAAAATTGTATATATGTAAAATTGTAATTAATGAATACCTTATTTTTAATTCTATTCAATCTTCCAAGTCATCTCTAGCTAGCTTGGTATATGTGTTAACATCTGAATGCATTATAAATATGGACTTTTTACAGAAGGCAACAACATATCATTATAATGTATCTAAAAATAAGAAAATACAATTTTAATAATTATTAACTTCCCGAAGGAGAAGTTTATGCTTTCATAAAAAAATCCGATTCGCTGGTTGTGTTTTCTCGACATTTCAAGTCATTCTGAATCAAATGAGACCAATATTTGAAAAAAGTATGTGTGTGTGTGTAAATCGCAGAAAAGTGAAAAATTTTTCGTCTACGTTTTAGCCCGCAATTATGAGTCGATTTTGAAAAACCGATCGAAAGATATTGTTTGAGAATCGTGCTGATTAGTTTTTGGTAAAAATCGGCCGGGCCGTTTTTTTGTAATAAAGTTTAAAAAAAAAAATTCGACGATTTTTATGATTTTTTTGACGGTAGATGCCATAGTCTTGTAGATCATACTAAAATATTACGGCCCTACGACAAGTCGTTTAATTTTAAAAATTCTTCAAAGTTTGCAAACATTAGTATTGTTCTTTTGGGATTTGTCAAAATTAGACCTTTGATCGACGTTTTCTCAAAAACGTCTGAACCCATTTCAGAAATTTAAAAGCCATTTAATGTATCTCAATAAGGTCTATCGTTTGTAAGTTTTGTGAAACGATCTGCCTAGTCGTTTCTTTATAATTTGAAAAAAAAGTGTTAAACTTTTCGTCCACATTTAACCTCAAACTACCGAACCGATTTTAAAAAATCAAAAACTGCTCGAAAGATATTAGTAGGGAATGATACTGATTAGTTTTAGGTGAAAATCTACCGAGCCATTTTCTTGTAATCAACTGTTGAAAAAAAAATTAAGCCAATTTTTATGGAACTTTTTTGGCGATATATATCATGGTCTTATAGAACTTGCTAAAATATTACGGCCTTACGACAAGTAGTTTAACTTAAAAATTCATCAAAGTTTGAGAAAATGAGTAGTTTTTTTTGACGTTTGTTAAAATTAAAATTATTGGATTTACTTGGTATAACGATAGAGTACTTGGTCATACTTTGATCAACATGGTAAACCATTAAAGTCTTACGGTAACTGGTTCAATTACAAAAATGGTTGATTTTTTAAAAACTTGCTTTTAGAAAATACTCCGAGTTAACGTTTTCGTTCGTTCATTTTCAATTATGTGTAATAAATCCACTCGAAATAATTTTAATCGCTTATAAATTAATATATTTATTATTGACTAAGTCGATTATTTACACATTTCGGGAAGTTCATGTAACTTGCCTCAAGGCAAAATACCAATACCAACTAGTTAAAATATAAAATGCAGACAAAATAAAAGATGATAAAATACACAAATTTTAACTAACGTAATTCAAGTTAGTTAATACGAAACATTTTATAACCTTCTAGCGTGACATTGCGTACGAAACTTGCACATTCGTTCTGAGGCAAAAATAACGTATACAACTGAATTCAATAGTTTTTCACAATAAAAAAATAATGATGACTTTTTCTTTCTTTTCCAGGCATTTTCCACACAAACACTGGAAAGCCGCGCGATCAGTTTCCAGTTTGCGAATTGATACCCGATGAACCATCGCCCGGCCAAACGCCGCAACAGCGATCGCTCACGAACTTGTTCCAACATAACGACGCCCAAGAAACGAATAATCAAATTAAATCAAGCGGAGATTTAATTAAATCAGCATCGAAAGAAAATGTTATCATGTATTTGGATGCTAAGAAGCAGGAAAACGTTGAAATTTCTTACAACTCCGATAAAATGAAGATCGGAAAAAATAAAAGGAAAGGAAAGTATAGTCGGATGTTGTCAGACATGGCTGAGAACAGCAAGCAGTTGTTCAGACCGCCAATTTTAAGATTCACATTGATATCGATAACGATCAACTTCACGTTTCACATCGGGTAAGAGTTTTACCTCCTTTTTTGAAATAATGAAACAGATAAAATCTTAACCCATTTTTTTCATTTTTTAGTTACTATGGTCTGATGATGTGGTTCCCAGAGCTCTTCAACCGTTTCGACGAATACACACGCCACCATTTAACTGACGGAAACGAAGTAACAGCCAATGTTTGCGAAGTAACCAACTTTGTAGTTTCACGTCATTTGGATCAACACCATGACGACTTTGGAGTCACCAAGGGGGCCTCCGGCCCAGTCTGCGACGACGTCATTCCTGCTGCTGTGTTCCTGGAGTCCCTCATAACTGTCGCAGCAGCCATTCCCAGTAATATAATTGCAGTCATAGGAATGGATAGACTTGGCAGAAAATTCTTCTTAGGTAGTTAAAGATAATTATTTAAAATTCAAAGGATGTGGTGGTAATAGACATTTTTTTCCATTGCAGTTTTCAGTACTTTTACATCAGGAGTGTGTGCAGCCTGCATGTTCTTTGTTTACAATAAACGTCACAATTTAATCGTGTCTGCAGTCTTCAGCTCTGTTATATCTTGTGGAAATGCAGCGTTGGACTGTCTTATCACCGAGGTGTTTCCAACAAATTTGAGGTAAAATTCGAACTCATAATTTATAACTCTCCATTAAAATCTTCTCTCTTATCTATTTCCATATAATCTCTTCATTTGTAGGGCTACTGGTGTGGCAATATCTATGGTAGCTGCTCGACTTGGAGGCATAATTGGCAATGTGGTAATTGCAACTTTATTAGACATGTATTGTCCAGCCCCGACATTTATTGTAGCACTACTATTGGCTGGAGGTGGTCTGATGTGTCTATTTTTGCCTAACACGACCAGGGAACCACTTTCATAAGAAAATCTCATCGTATAACAGTCGGGCGATATAATAAATATATTTATTCTTCTGCTCCATCCCAAAAACTTGATTTTGAAATTTAAATACTTATAAAATAATGAGTCTTTTCTTATAAAAATGTATATAAATAATTATCCTAAAGTCGTTCATTAATTATTTCATTAATGATGACTTCGTTATTAATTAATAACTAAAAATTAATAAAACAAAAAAAAAAAATATATATATATATGCCACATCTGTAAATGAAAACGAATTATAATATAACATAAGATATCTTAAAAAAAAACACTAAAATTTTTTATATTTATAAAATTTAAATTAATAAATTCCTTCATATTAATTCCATTAAATCGTCTAAGTCTTCTCAATAGTTTAGTATATAATATGTGAATGTATTATAAATATGTATTTTATTCATAAGGCAACAACTAAAGGCGTCTTTATAATATACCTAAAAAAAATACAAAAATATAAAAATACTTGCCAAGTAATATTTTAATAAGTAATAAGATAAGTGGGAATAAAAAATATTTGTGTTAATGGTTTAAAATTTTGGTTATTCACATAATTTTAGAATTGATTCATGTTGAATGTATGATGTAAAATTTCCCTTTAATTTAAGAATAATAGTTCTTTATTTGTTTAATTTCAATGTAGTTGATGAAATAAATTAAAAATGATAAAAATATACGACTTTCACTATTATTTACTACTTTGACTATTATTTAGACTTTTACTATGTTGTTCAATAATTTATTTCAAATCAGTATACATTTATACATAAATATATAATACAACCATGATAAAATTTCAAATGGACTTATCGACAATAAAACTTATTAATTATTTTATTCATATATTAATTGAATTTGTGACTAGGTAGTACTTAAGTAAATAGAATAATATTTCGTTTATATTGTGAGTTGGATTATTGCAAGAAAAGATAAATTGTTAATTGTAGGTGATGTTTGCCGACAAAAAATATATATTTAATTTAATTTTTACTAAACCAATATTCATCAAAATTACACATTCAAGTACAAGCATATTTTATGTAATTAATTTCCTTTATCCAAATTCACAGAATTTCTATTTACACATTAAATTTTCTCTACATAAGTAAATCATCTCACAATAATAAATATTTAAATTAAATTTATTTATAAATATTTTTATTCCGTTTAACGGAATATTCACAATCACAATCGTTAAGTACACATTAACGGCTGCTTAAAATATTATTTATATGATCTTGAAGATCTATTAAGTAGTTAAATGAATTTAATTAAAATAACACATTTTGAAATCACATTGATTATTATTTGTACAGAATAAATTTAAGTATTTGGCACAGCTTAATTATATATAACTTTTATCGTTTGAAGTTTCAGTAATGACTTGAATTTAAACTTGTATCATTCTAGTACATTTAACTTTAATTAAATATTTATCTAACATATTTAACATTAATTAAAACATCTTTTTACCATGATCTTTTAAATATTCATAATTTGTCGATAAACTTTTCATCAACTTTCATTTAAACAATGCAAAAAAAATTCGCGCTTTTATATTATTAATATACTTTACCATTTATTATTTATAATTATCTATATAATATGACATTTTTCTACTACATGGTCCATTTATAATATATATAAAGATTTGGCTTAAGTATTTAGACAGAAGAAGGCTAAATATTCTTGAATCTTCTAGATGTAATAATTGGTTATACATTTTAATTTTCATCATCATATAACCCTGTTTTTTTGGTCGAATTAGCTTTTTAAAAAACAATACAGTATTGACCAAATGACATGCCAATCGATAAAGTTTAAACTTTGTTTTTTACAGTAGATAATAAATTAACTGCATAAGATTTTGTTATAAATCGTTTGTCATTTTTCCATGTTCTATCAAGAATTGAATGTGAGTAATATTCACCGATAGATTTATTTAATAATAAAGAGCATAAACGTGGTAGGAATTTCTGATTATTATTTATGCACTTTATTAACTTAATATGTATTTTCTATATCTCAGTCAGACAGTGGTGCCTGGTGTAAGAGATTTTGGAAAAAACATATTCTATTTGTTCAATAATTATAATTCTCCATTAATTTTTTCCTAAAACTATTTCACTTATCTAACAAAGGCATTGCACTTTCGTCCTTGACGTGCTGTTGCGTTTTCCTCAAATTATTATTATTATTGTTCAAACTTAATTTATTTTTCAATATGCTATGAGTTTCTGAAAAAATCCTTTCACCCTCATTACCCGCCAGGCTTTTTTCATCTTCACAGCATGCTCCTTTGTGTTCATCAAAATTCTGACCCGTGTCGTTGTATTTTTGACTATTTATGTTTTGCAATTCTAAATTCTCAAAATTTAAATGCTTGGGCGATGTAAATTTCTTCGGTGTGATGTTGCCATCTAAATTTTGTTTATTTTGATCACAATTGGGAATAGATATAGGTTCTGATTTTGGACGATTTGGATCATGTGGGTTTTTGTTCCAGTCTCCTTGCGTGGTAAAGTTAACATTTTTTAAATCTTCTGCAGATTTAGGTTCAAAAAAGTCTTTTCTACTTTGGGATATCTTGGTGGGCTCATAATTAGCACTGTAACTTCTAATTTTTTCTGTTTTATTCACTCTGGCTAAATTCTTATCAAACTTGAAATCTTCTTCACCAGGTCCGCTGCACACGATTTCTGGAGTCGCCAAACCAGGAAATCTTACGCATTTATTCTTGTGTTTAGTTGAAGTTTCATCATGTATTTCGACTTCACAAAAATCGTCCTTGGTGAAGAATTCTAAATCGCAAATATCTTGTGGGTTTTCCAAGTCACTTTTTGAATCCTTAACATCAATATTTTCCAAAACAGTCTTCTCACTCGTTGCATTTTGAATGCTGGTATCAGTCGAGGGAGGTATTGGGGCTTCTCCCAAAAGCCAATATGTAATCATGGGTGGTTTGCCCTGATTCAAAAACAAACACTTATTGTAAATAAATAATTACTGGAATTGGTAACATTTCCATGCTTCAAGCGACATGATAATGATAAAATTCTGTGATGATTTCAGGACACTGACACAAGAAATATAATGATAAATGAAAATGTGGTAAAGTTCTCCCAAATCCTATGGATAATTTTTGGAATTGGTGAATTGTTCATGCTTTAAGCAACATGCTTGTCGAATGATCCAAAAGATGATGATCCAGTTTTGAGATAACACTGACACATGATTTAAAAAATCATAATAATAAACTAAGGTATAGTGAAATTAACCGAATAATGAAGTTAAATATTTAGTAATGATAATGATAGAGTTTTATGATGACACAAACGTGTGGAGAAATAAATCCTATTTACTTTCCGAATATCGTGTGAAATGTTTGAAAATGTGATGATTTAATGATTAAAGCAGCATGCTAAATGACAATTTAATGACGGTTTTAGCACACATAAACATCAACTAAATATACACATTCACTGACAAATGTCAATCCTTTTCCATAAAGTGCAAATTTACTAAACGCAACGAAATCAAACCGTTCAGTGCAAAAAAACAAATATGCAGGCAACAATGCATTACAAAAAATTGCTCTTACCTTCATGCTGACTTCTCCTCTTTCCTGCAACAAAAATCCGCCCATGATGTCCAACAGACGTTTTGTGAACGGACTGACATGTATTTTTAGTGGTTCACCATGCGATTCCATTCTTGATGCAGTATTTACAGTGTCACCGAAAAGGCAGTATCGGGGCATCACTCGACCCACCACTCCAGCCACACATGGACCTAAGAGGAAGAGATATTTCAATAACTATATCCAAAAAGGAGTACACCATTCTATATTGGTTGTAACTGTATACCTGATAACAGTCTTAACAATTACTGAATGTTTTTGATATAAGTATAATATGAAAAATTGTTAAAGAAAATTGAATCTAAAATGAATCTAATAAATAAAGGCAGTCCATTATCCCTTTACCTGTATGAATTCCGATTCTGAGCAACAGTTTTTCGTCCCTCCGATGTCGAATGGTGAATTTGTCTACAGCGCCGAGCAGGGCCAGGGCCATGCGGGCAATTTCGGAAGCGTGTCTGCTGCCGTTCCTGGTTGGCAGACCAGAAACAACCATATAGGCGTCGCCTATCGTCTCCACCTGGACGGGGTAAAATAAATAATTAATAAGTTCATCAATGCTGTCTATGTGTAAACTAGAGTTGCATAGCATCAAAAGTTAGAGGCTTTCAAACTACATTAATTTTATTTATATCTATTGAAAGATTTTGAAAATCAAAAAAATTAACACAAAATTTATCAATCATACTAACAAATTAGTCATAAGTAGAATCTTCTTATATATAAAAATGAGTCGCAAAATGTGTTGGTAAGCGCATAACTTAACAACGCATGGACCAATTTGGCCAATTCTTTTTTTTAAGAAAAAATCGAATAATTACCAAGAAAACCCTAAAAACAGCCCTTTTCTTTTTCACATACAAATGTTTTCTAACTAAAACGTAGAATCAATTTGAGCTTTATTACTATTATATATAAGATTCATATTAAATTACAAGCACTCACTGTATACTCCTCCTAAACGATTATTCGGATTTTAATAAATCTTTGTGAAGTTTGTTAAGGAAATTTTCTAGGATGTATGTGATTATAAAGTACTGGAATGTATGTGCAATATTGTAGAAATAAATGGAAAAAATTGCAAAAAACGACATGTCATTGTTTGCATTGAAAACAAATGAAAACTATCATCTGCCAAAAATTTCAATTTACTTATAAACCTAGACAATATTAGAATGTGTATAATAAATTTATGATTATAAATAAGAAAAATGAAATGCCTACATTATTATTGCCAAAATGCAGCTGAGATGTGCCAGAAATTAAAACAATATAAGATGCAGTTTATGTATGGCAGATTAAATGATACACATATAAACAGGATATGACAAATTAATTCACTTAAAATATGAAATTAAGTATTAATCAGAGCCGGTCCTACTTTTAATGCGATGTATGCGAAAAATACGAGCGCACGCCTTAGGGGGCGCCAACACAAGATTCGGATATTAAATTTTCAATATAGTTTTTTTTCAATATATAATTTCTTTGCATCTTTTACTTTCCACAACATTTTTGAAATTCGTAAAAATTTCACTTAACAACAAATGGGAAAGTAATGATGAATACATACAATTCGGACCTCACGATATCGATTAGGATAAGTTTAAGATGCAATTTTGGATATCTTGAATAATAAAAAATTAAATTAAATTAATCCAACGTGAAGTACCAGTGTTATGTTATGGTTATGGTTATGTTATACCGTTTAAAAGACTTCAACTTCCAATATAGTGTGAGAATTGAGACTCATCATTTTATTTAAAGCAGTTCTGCATTTAACATCGCTCATCTATTATTATAAATGTATATGCATTTTGGCGTGAAGAGTAATTTAAAACACAATAATTATTATTTTTAGGTAAACGGTAAATATTAGTATATTATATTAAAAAATTGTAGACATAACATAAGTACAGGACAACGTCTGTCGGGTCATCTAGTTATATAATACAATCCATAATAACTGTCCATATGTATTAAAAGTATATATGTGCAAATCTGTTTAAAATAATACATCCTTTTCCGCCTTAGTTCGACGATAAGATTCTCTTTCGTCAAATAAGATATTTCTACCAAATCGGCTTAGGGAATTATTGTAAATAAAAAATAATATGAATGTGTCCTTTACCCTCACCTTATAAACATCGAAGTTTTCGATAATGGAATCAAAACAAGAGTAGAGGTCGTTCAAAAGGTCCACAACTTGCATGGGCGTGCTTTCGGCCGACATTTTAGTAAAGCCGACGATGTCGCTGAAGTAGACGGTCACCTCGTCGTAAGTTTCGGCCGCCACTGCGCCGCCCGAAATCAACTGGGACGCCACTGTCCTGAGAAAGGAGAATGTATAATAATTAGGAATTTATTACAATAATTCTTATACACCATTTTAATTTATAATTAATAAATAGATATCTGAAAAATTATCAACACTCCTTTTAAAAAAATGAAATCAAAATCATATAGTCTGTTAATTTTCAGCACAATTATTTCTTCATATTTCGACAATTACAATTAATTGTTTTAACAGAGTTTGCAAAAAGTTTTTTTTTTAAATAGCAGCAAATGGAGAAGATGCTTTTAGAAAATACAAATATCATCAGCTGAAGGAAAACCATACAGTGTGTATATGAAACATAATATGTAATATGAAACTTTTATATAAGTTGCTTTCTTCTTGCCACAAGAGGTTTATAAAGTTTTATAACACACATGTATATATATATATATATATATATATATATATATCCATATATGTCGTACAATATTATCGACATGAATAGTTGGCTTTGGGGCAATAGTTTTCTTGTTAAGAAGTAAAACTTCCTAAAACTTTAATTAAGTTCTACTGTCGTTATGAAGCTCACGAGACAACTATATTAATGATTGCAACTGAATTAATTGATGAAAACAATCACACTTATGAATAAACGATTAAATGAATATATGAATATTTGAATAAATTGTTTCAAAATATTTCAATTTCCCACTCTACAGTACCTGTTGCTAGAGAACCCCCTGTGCCCCCTGGACGATTACACATTCCAAATAATTTCCATTATGTTTAAAATTAATTAAAATAGTTGCGAAATCATTCCAAATAAACTTTGTCTCTCTCATGTAAATTATTCATATGCACGAAAATGAATTTAATTGCTAATGACACGAATAATATTTCGTTGTAAATAAATATTGATGTTTCATATATGGATCGTCACAAAATTGTGCAACCGTATATTTTATAAATAATTTTATGAAAAGATTTGTAATATACTTACTTAGGAAGTAGCTGATAAAGCAGCTCTTCGCACTTTCTTTTTTCCTCGAAGTAATCCCTGGTCCTCTCTTCTACCAAAGTCTCCAAATTATTCGCATATTGCTCCATACGAGACAGTAGGTTGTCCAGGATATTTCCACTCTCCTGGTCCCTAAATAGAAATATTAATTAATAAGAAATAATTCTATATTATATAGGAGGTATCTGCTTTAACGTGAACGTTGTTTATTAAATGTTAATGTTGCCATAAATTTCAAAAATATATTAAATAGATTAAAATCCAAGTACTTTATCATATGCTCTGTGATATTTTCTTCCTCGAACGTTCTACATTTCCCGAATAATTTCCATTAGAGAAATTGTAACCCGATGCCAAACTTTTTATCATAACTAACTCAATTTTGAATCGGCCAATCTGCCAATAAGCCAATTTTCACTTGGCAACTATAACTAACTCTCTCTATATAAAAGCTCCCAATTCATGGTTATTAAAGTTAAATAAAAAAAAAACTTTAGTCGAATAGAAAGTTAGTTATGAGAGACTGCTATCTGTAGGTCGAAACGTGATGTGATTCTAAAATCGCAATAAAAACTGAGACATACATTCTGGATTGAGATTTTAGAATTAAATATATAAATATGTATGTATCTACTTGAATCAAAATCAAGTAAAACTAAAATTACTACTGTTCGATATCAAGCTGGCCAAAATCGGTACCAAACCAAAAGTTGCAAGGCAAAGTTTTTACTACTAAGTCATGACAGCACTTTTAACAGAAGATTATTCTCAGAATAGGGTAAAATAATATTTCCACTGCTTAGCAAACAATCTAATTATCTACTATCAAAAGAAGCAAGATGGGAATAGAATTTCATAAATCTGAAACCTTTATGAAGAATGAAGAGTACTGAAATGCTTGTGAATAAATAAATATTTTATAAGTTCTTAAAAATGTAAAACGTAGAACTACACATGTCTCATCTTCCTAAATAAAAGCTGAACATGATTTTAATAAATATCGAAAAACTAGGGGAAAAATTCGTTAGTTTATAAAGTGTAAAATTTATAAAAGAGTTATCCAGTATTGTAAGGCTGAGGCCACCATATACCGGTGATCAATACTCACAAAAACTATTTGATATTCACAATAAAGCGTCGGCATTATTTATAACGATATAGGTCGTTTATTATTTGGCGGAAGGATTAACAGGACGCCGACCGGATGAGGTGACAACACATGCGAAGAGACAAGGTTGGCCAACCTGAATCGAGTTACCGCCTAAAGCGCGATATTCAAAATTGAATTGAACGTTTGAAATTGTATAGAAACTTTGAAGTTTGAACTATATTACTAAGATACATATTGGGTGGTGTAAAATGAACAGAAATTTAAGCAGCTATGAGAACATCTTAGCATTTTTTACTTCAGATAAGCCAAATAGTAATATACAACTGCTATTTTATTTATTGTGAAATTGTTTAGATATCTTCGAAAACTAATGCTGACTGATTCATCTGCTAAAAGAATCATACAAATACAATTCTCATCTAATATATTATACTTTGCACAGAGGAACCACTAAAATGCATTCAATATAGTCTATTATTAGCTTGTACATTAGTTTATACTATTATATAACAAGATTATATGTACAAGATTTTATAAACAAGACGTGCATGGTATTTTTCTTTTAAGCGGGGTGCAAAAACTTTCCAAAATGTCTAAAAAAATCGACTGAAAATGTCCTGAAAGCGCGCATAATGCATTTTTTTAAATAATTAAATCACTTTTGTGCAAGCCTATACTATTTTAAAATGTTCGTAAAGACCACGAATCCCATTCATATAAAAGTTTAATCAAACAATTACAAAGAAATTTTATTACACATATGCAGACTTTTTCCAATCATGGTCTTAAACGATTCAAAATGACTTGAAACGTCAAATCAATATTTGTGGCGTTCATATTCTTCGAAAACTAAATCGCTTCAAATTTTCTATCAACCTACATTTGCTTCAAAATACTGTGTAATTTATTTGTATCAATATTTGTAATGCAAATTGAAAAATACATAACAAAACGTACAGTTTTATGTGTACTGAATTCCACATTTTATATTCCGTATTTAAATTCCAATTCTACGAAATCTCATTAAATATTTTATTAATTTTTTTTCTACCAATTTAGTATTTTCAATCAACTTTTATAGGAATTGAATAAAATCAATCAGAATACAAATTCTAAGTGGGAGTATAAAATTGATTTGTTTACTTCGACATAAATATTATTATTATTATCATTCGACATGAATTCTCTCCACTTTTATCGTGGTCTATAAATGTAAATGGATCCATCATGTATAATATTTATATTTATATATTCATGATATTCAAAATAAAATCCATCGTCGTCGGCGTAAAATATGTTTTTCAAAATGTCAATCATTCGCTCGTCGCCCTCGGCTAATGAAAACGAATGAAATATTCATATTTATATAATTCAGTTCACATATGGTGTATTATATATAGTATAAATTATAGGGGATGTATTTTGTAAAAACCAAAGTTACTCATCTTTAATGAATCGAAAAAAAATTCGCAAAAAAATCGAAAATGAAAATTTTTATATATCTTTACATTTCAGGGGTTTCTGAATATTTTGGCATACCTTAGAACAAAATGGATGCATGTGTGTGTGTATGTGCGTGCGTGTGTGTGTGCGGATAAAAATGTTCGTCGACGATTTCGGGAACACGGATGAAGCGATTTGAATAATTCAAAAAACATTCGATTCGTATTGTTAAGGAGACGTGCTTATTAGTTTTTGGCGAAGGCAGGTCTAGCCGTTCCGAAGATATGGGGCAAAAAGTGCCAAACACGGTAACTCAGTTTTTAAGAGAACGGAGCGTCCGATTTGAATAATTCAAAAAACATTTTATTTGTATTAACAAGGTGCAGAATTGATATAATTTGAAATATGAAGGCAGGTCTAGCGGTTTCGGAGATCTAGTAAAAAAAAGTAAAAAAAATGTCATCTGGCCGTCTAAAATGATCATTAGACATATGCACATCAAAATATCAGATATTTTAAAGAGATTTTAACAAGTATAAATTTTGTTCATATTCCTTTAAATTCCGTACCAATGTTTATCAGTTAGACGGCGACGCGGCGCTTCAATATTTCGTCTCTATGCAGTTAAAAGTAGTACGATTGATTTGAAAAAAAGTTCAGAATTTCCAAAATATTTCAAAATAATTTTTTTTTCAGTCTTTTTTTTTTCGAAAAAAGTAAATTTTTGTCAAAAATTTATATTTTCTCAAAAATCTAATTTTTTCAGAGTAATTTTTTTTCAAAAATGTTAATACTTTTTTTAAAAAAATAATTTTTGGTACGGAAAGTTCCAGCAATTTGCCTTAAGACACGATGCCATGCGACCCACTAGTTGAATTTGAAATTGTAAATCCTTCCGAACGATATAAGATGAAAATCGTGCAGTATGGGTAAAGATCGGTCAAGCCGTTTCTTCAAAATTAATTGTTGATTTCTTTTCTTTACAATTATGTTGAACGTTTGTATGATGAAACAATTTATAGTCTGAAGAAACATCCTTAAATATTATAGGCCTACGAAAAGTGGTTTTTTATCAAAATTTGAAATAATGAACCAAGCTCTCAAAACATTTAATTTTTATCAAATTCTCTAACATTTAACACTTACTTGTTTAATCTCCTCACAGTGCTCTTGAGACTATTAAAGTCGGGCCTATGATTGGGGTCCTCGCTCCAACAATGATTCATTATCTCCGTCAGTTGTTGTTCGGTGCCCTCGACGATTGTGGGTCTTACGAGGGCGCCCCCGGCTTGCTGAGGGCGCTGCTGCAGGGCATTGGGGCCGTGACCGCCCGACGCTCCGCTGTTATGATTGTGATAGAGAACGGCGCTGTTGGGAGACACGGAGCCCCCGAGCGGATTGGGGGACCCAGGGCTGGAACCGAGGGATGAAGTTTTGGGGCCGCGCCTTACGCCTTCGACGATCTCTGGAAAAAAAGATAAATATTATTTTTAAATAAAAAATTAATTCATCATTTAAAAATGAAACTATTCTATGAATTAAAAATATATTTTTTTTAATATTTAGCAATAAAATCATTTTCTACAAAGCTGTTGTATAAAATTAAATTTATGTTCAAAATTATAATTAAATTATGGTTGTAATTAGTGTATTCCCATGACGAGTATATTCGTCAATCACAGAGCAAGTTGAGAAATAGCAAATGCCAACACCAAACTTTACTTCTTTGGTTAACATAAGCATATGCAACATATGTAATTTAAGTTCTAACCAGTATTAAATTCCAAAAAGATAATAGTTTTTAAGGTAAAAAGTGAATTCCTTTAATATTTGAATATCAAACAGTGTATAAATGAATAATTTTTTTATGTTTCTAATAGTTCCTAAAGCAGTAAACCTTTTTAAGCAAATTTATTTACAAATTTACAAATTTACAAATTAAAAATAACATTTTTTTCATAGAAAAAAAAGTTGCAAAATATTTTGTAAATTTAAAAAAAAGGCTCTCCCATAGAATAATGGTTAGAGCTAAGGGCTTTCAAACAGAGTTTCTAGGTTGGATATACGCTTTGAACAGCCCGATGTCAAGCAGTAATAAAATAGGCATCATTAGACAGTAATATATTACATTGTGAAAATAGTATTTCAGAGCACAAACGCATAAAAAACATTCAGTATTTATTTATTTATTTATTTATTCGTAAGATGTTCCTAAGCAAGCCGTAATCAATAACAATAGATATTATTTCAGGCTCTTGTCAAGTATTACAGAAATTGTAATGAAAAAAATCTAAGTCTGTTACACTATGTAATATATTACTATCTAATGACACCTATTTTATTACTGCTTGACATCAGGTTCTATCGATAGGACATCCGTTTATTTGGTTTGCCATTTGGAAGACAATGCCTTTCAGAAGTCATCACAACAGCTTTATAATAAAACAATCATTACAAAAAAATAGATAGCAGAAATAAACAAAAATAACAAATTTTGAAGAAAAACTGGAGGCTTATATATGTATATATATATATATATATATTTATAACGATTTGTATTCGCATCGAAAGTACAATAAATCATGATGTTTGATAACATGGCAGACACATAAAACTCATCCCTTAAGAGTTTCGGGATGCTGAAAAGTTCAACAACCTTTGTACCATACATACAGATATATATATATATATATATATATATATATATATATATATAATATACACACACATAAAACTTCATTATCAAGTTAGTCCATTTCCTCGAAGAGGAACCGCAAGTTGAACCCTCTTACACATTATATGCTATAAGTTTATAAGCTTTAATCTAATTTTAACAATTTAACAATAATCTGCTAAAAACTACTTTAAATATTTAATTCATTAAGTTTTAATATTGGACAATTTAAAGTTTGTTTTTGAAAAAATTATGAGCAAAACATTATCACTTATTTCCGTTTCGACGCTAATTTATTATGTTTGAAGAAGATATGTTACAGCTATTTTAGTAAAATAAATAGTAATGTTTTTATATACAAATTTTCAGAACAAATGCATGTGTGTGTACCCCTTAAATGTATAATAATGTCCGATGTACGTTTCCAAACACCTTATTTATATAACCCAATGCCGAATATTACCGCATCAAAATTACATTGTAATATTCAACATCGATTCAAGGGCATATACACACTACACGACTATATATAATACAACCTACGGCCTAAAATAGGTCAATTAACCCAAATAAATTAAAAATCTCGTTTCGTCTCTAGTTATCGCTTATCTTTGAATACTACTACTCGAATAGAATAGAATATTTTTTTATCTTTAATCCGCCGTCTTTTTTTCCACTCTCCAAGAAGAAAATTCCCATAAGACGTGTGTGCACGTGTAAGTGCACGTTATCTAGTTGGATTCTTGTTAGAAGCCGGAGGTGTTCGTTCCGGTAGTACCCGTGACAGATCGATACCGGAAAAAATATATAATCTGTATTATACAAGGATATACTTACATGATATATATATACGTATGTATCAATGTAAATATAAAAACAGGGGACTCTAATTAAATCATACTTGTTAGAAGCGCTTTGGGATTAGGTTTGTTTTATCTGAGTGTTATGTAAATCATTAAATTTATTTAAATATCACTTTTTTAAATATAATTAATAATTAGTTTATAAATTTACAACAAATCTGCATGTAACTGTTATTGTGCAATGCAGATTATGTAATCATATTGTGAGAGATGAATAGATAGATGAAAAGATGGATGTCAACGTCCGCACTAGTAGTAATAGTAATCCGCAAACACAAAAAATATTAAATATTCAAAAGGTACTAATTTTACTCAACAAGGGACAGCGGATGAAATTTGGGATTTGCAAAATGAATTTTTTAGTTTCATATCTGGATTACCAAAAAAACGACAAAATATACATAGTCTCAAAGTACACGTAAGAGACTGAAAAGATAGACTAACCTTGAATTTAAAGTTCCTTTCGCTGTGGATCCAACACAAAACTCAGTTATCATGGTTTCCGCCATTTTCATGCAATTACGCATCCTTATGCAACTGTCGTGCACGGATTTAAATGTTGCAAAACACCTTATTTGTAACAACTCAACTCTTAAATAACATTTGTACATGTGGGGTAGTACTCATTGCACACTTTAATCACTATAAAATTATATAACACGACATAGAACTCTAGTATTTTAATGAAATCGCCACACTAGTGAACGTTAACGAAGCCGAAAGTCCACCATATTGGTTACTAACAAAAGTGTTGTGCTCATCACCAAAGGACATGGTACCAACTTAATTTGAATAAACATTCAATAGATACGACTTGAAGTTGGCGCAAAGATAATATCTATAATTTGCCGGCATTTTCAAAAAATGTAAAAACAAATCAACTCATTCAAAATGCAAATAAATATAGTCTATAAGTAATTAAATAACCGCAAACATTATTAATAATTAATAATATTTGTTACAAACGCTTCAAGACTAGGTTTGTCTCATCTGAGTGTTATATAAACAACTAAATTTATTTAAATAGCACTTTTTTAAAATTTAATTTATATTATAGTTTACAAACTTACAACAAATCTGCATACCCCTTGCTTCTATAACTGTTATTGTTCTATGCAGATTATGTAATCATATTGTGAGAGATGAATAGATAGATAAAGATATACAAAAATATAATATTTTTAACTTACTGAAGAAGTTTATATTTTTGTCAAAAAAACGGTTTCTGATTTGATGTTTTCACGACGTTTCATATCATTCTGAATCGTTTGAGATCAATAATTGGAGTAACTGTGTGTGTGACAAAATTTCAAAGAGAACTACAGGACATTTGAATTAAAATAGATTTTATTAATACATGGTATATGGGTGAAATGACAGTCAGAAGATTTATATTTTCAAAGAGCTCTACAGGACGCACCGTTTGTACTACAAACTTGAAATTCATACATATCGATCTTCAAAGTATCTATTATAAGATCACATATAAAAATTTATAAGTTTTCTAAGAATATTTTGAATTATTAAATATTTTACCTATACATGACATATATGAGTATATTGGTGAAATGACTCTTAGAGCTTAATTCTTAGAGAATTAACACTTTCAAAAAGCTCTGCAGGACGTACTATTTGTACTACAATCTTGTAATATAGAAATGTTATTGTTCAAAGTGTCTATTATAAGATCAGATATTAAATTTGATAGGTTTTCAAACAACTTTTGGAATAAAAAAAATATTTCACTTATAAATGTCATATATGTTACTGGTGAAATGACTCTCAGTAGATTAACATTTTCAAAGGGCTCTGCAGTACACACCGTTCGTATTACAACTTTGTATTTCATATATGTCATTCTTCAAAGTGTCTATTGTAATATCAAACATTAAATTTGATAGGTTTTCTAACAATATCTTGAATTAAAAAAGATTTTATCAATAGATGTCTTAAATGAAATGCGTGTTTATAAACGTTATGTCATGAGTGATTGACCCTAGGAAGATTAGTCTTTTCAAAGAGCTCTACAGGACGTACCGCTTGTACTATAACCTTGTAAGTCAGACATATTATTCTTCTAAGTGTCTTTTGTGATAAATAATAAAAAAATTATATTTAATTAAATATATTAATTTATAACACTGAAAATGAGTCAAACCTAGCCTTAAGAATATTTGAATATTGCATTTTGATGAATACTGTATAGAAAAACCTGATGATGGAACGTATCTATATCTAGCTCTATGTTGTATATATATATATATATATATATACACATACATTTATATACATATATATATATACATATATGTATCACAAGAATAGATATGTAATAAATATTATAGTATATAGTTGTAGTTCAGCACTTAGAAAAGCATATTTCTGACAGAGCAATTTATATTCATGAAGATCATCATGATGATATTTATATGATAATATATTTACAAGAGTAAATGTCAAAACACCCAATATACATTATATATATATATATATATATATATACATATATATATATACATATATATATATATATATATACATATATAATGAAGTAATCAAAATAGCTTTTTCGCAGACATACATTCAAATATTTATTAGATTGGAATATTGAATTATTATACTATTTTTTTGGTGGTTCACAAATTACTGCAAAATGATTGTTAATTAAGTATATTTAATTTTCACTCCATTTTTTTAAATAAAACTAATATGAATATTATTCAAATATTAAAAAAAAAATTAATTTAAAATTTGAAATTTAGTTTCTTTTTCTAATATCTGGATAAATGCCTATTATAAAGCTTCAAAAATGTTTTAGGATAAAAATACAAAAATATCATTTACAGATAAAACAAAAATGCAAATAATAGAAAAATGTTTTAAACATGGAGATATCAAAGAGCATAATTTTGTCAAATATTTTGTTCC